GTTTTATGCCAAAATTATTTACGAGAATGGCAGTGGTTATGTGTATCAAACATTGGTAAAATTTGAGTTGTCCGAGGGTTGCGATGTAGATTTTCTTTAGAAGTCGATGTGTGTTTCGGCATTTAATCTATTTAAAATTAAGAATTCGCTTTTCTGTAATTCCGAGGTCGACAGCACAAAGGAATCGCCATAAGCTCATCTTTCTCCTGCCTTTCTGATAGCAATCCCTCTCAAAGATATTTTCAGCAGCACAAATCTTAGAGCTTGCGATTATCAAACGGGTCACAGGCGCTGTTCCGAAATACATCGTCTTCGCAGTATTGACCAATAAATAGATCAGTTCGCTCACCCCAGCCCACATAACACAGGTGATTACGACTGAAGACTGTTTGGGAAGATATCACTTGTATATAGCTATTTTTGACGGAATCCTAATGCAAAGTCGAAAGCTTTTAAACCGCATCGACTGATGGATTTGCAGATAACGGGCAACAGAGTACAGAATTTTGAACTTCAGGCCGAACTTTCAATAGCTGACGGAGGTTTTTTGGAATAAGAGCTTGGGTTGTAGTGGTCGTGTTGATGGTGGTCTTGTGGTGTCGGTGATGATGGCGGTAGAGGTGGTAACGGTTGCGATGTTGGTGGTAGTAGTGACAGTATTCGTGGTGTTGGTGTTGGTGACGGTGGTGGTGAGGGGTCGTGGTAATGGCCGTTTTGGTGATGGTGGAGCGGCAGCTAGCATTAACAGTTAAATTGGTTGAAATTTAGAATGTAGTACCCTCTAAACGAGTTACTACGTTGCATCTGTATTCCTAAGGACAAAACGAATGTATTAATTAGCAGTATTTCATGTCAGACAGTGGTCATAATGCTACCGCCATACTGTGTGAGTTGCACTGGGGATTGGTGCTTAATTGAAAAAAGACTTTGAGTGGCTGATTATTACCGGTTTTTCCTCAGTAAGGTAGATTTAACGTGCGGTCCGCAAATTTCCGACTTAAAAAAGGTCGTTTCTTGGTGAGTTTCTAAATGATGGTTTGAGATCCGGGTTACAGGGACTGCGAATTTGTATTAATATTTTATTGGCACAAGATGGAAAAGAACGATGTTTCGGCATAGTTGAGAAACCGACATTTCGGCATGCGAATAAACGACTTTTTGTGAAACCAATTTTCCATCTGAACAGTCAGCGGCCTCAGGTGGTCAGATATTTGTTTTCTTACGCAAAACGATAAATTTGGAATGAGATATATCTGTCACAGACGCTTCTAGCTTACAGAACTTCATAGGAGCATGAGTACAGGTCTCGATTGCGATGAATGCGCGGTCCGCTTTCAAGCCGACGGCGGTCGAGTTTCAACTGCACTTTTTTCTCATGACACCAAATCATGCGGGTGTATAGCCTTATGCACTTGTAGTTGATGGAGTACCCTTCATTAGCTGCGCGTGTATGACGTATTATTTTGAGCTGCTATGACCCAAAGAGGTGTTAAAGTCCGTGACGAGCAGCAAATGGGTAACGTGTTTTGCTTACGACTGGATTCAGGGGTATATGTATTCAGAAATAATGCTGAATCAGTAGCTAGTAGTAAAAGACTGCATAATGCAATAAAAAACAGACCTGCCACTCCGAATTGGTGACCCTATGCGTACATGAGGTCACCCGTTCCTGTGGTAAACTTAACCAATTCGTGTCGATCGAGAGAATCACAACTTCGAAAACATTTAATGCAAAGTTTGCAGATAAACCTTTAATAACAAGCAGTTATTCTCTTGCGAATGGAGCACCAAACTGGTAGCTCCAATCGATAATTATATACTTAGTGTATGCGATGGAGATAATTTCAACTGTGCAGGTAGTCCTGGGTTGCTCATGATATTCCTCAGAGATAACCTCCTGAAATAGGACAATATTTTCAGTGACGTTAAGAAATTAACGAACATATTTAGGGCAAAACTAATGGGACTCGCTTTAGGGAGATGTGTTTTATTGGCAATGCGCCCAGCGACTTCCAGGAAGGAGTTCAAAAGAAGAGAATGCGACTACTGGGAAAAAAGGGTTTTTGTTTTAACACTTCCGACAGAGACGGTCGTAAACATCAGCGATCCATTGAAAGGAAAGTTAATCATATGATTTGAAATTGGGTTAAATGGGATTGAGAAAGGACTAAGAACAAACGTTGCTATAAGGTTCGATTCAGCACTCCTTGGTCCACAAAATGTTCTCCCCTAGAGTCTCCGTCATTAAACATGAGGCAATTGGCTACTATAAAAAACTTGTGAACGGAACTTTAAAAGTATTGAAAATATCGTCAGCAAAACAGTTGAAACACATTGGATAAAAAGACGGAAAGACAGAAACTGACTAACAGACAATTGTTGCGGTGACAGCCTTTCACTAATAAGATTGCATCCATTACGATGTCTAACCGAGTTGTCCGTTATGGTGTCTTGCTAACTGGGCAATCTGATCAAAGAGAAGGGTCCAGATTGTTTTTATGCTGAAGACTTGGGCGTTGACCTGTTGTCTCTCGTCAATAGGGTAAATTTGCCGATGTTCCTCTTTCACTGTAAGGGTTTTTGGCAATTTTATTCTTCTCCAACAGCAATTTCTCGTTTTCGGCATAACAGTCTGATACTTGATGTTAATGGATCGCCGGTAAATGAACACCCACCGCGATGCGTAACCTTACTGTGTCTAACATGGTATACCACAACTTGCAGGACGAAGAGAGCTCAGAATATTTTCCCACGAGAGCGCCGAAGATGGGTCTCCTCTCGCGTTAGTTTCCGACTCGTGTAAAACTAGAAAAGAATGCTTACGACTTTCAGGTCGGTCATCATAACTATTCTAAATAATGATTCTCTCAGAGGCAAGGAAAATTCAAAATTGCGCCAATCCCCATTAGGGTGGATGGCGGAGTAGTGGAGCCAGTTCTTAATTTACTATTTCCACTAATCTCGCCCGACGCAGATATTGTAAGCCATTGTTTTCATGTTCATTAACTGTTAACAGGCAGCTGGTAGTGTAGTTTGGGGTAAGGGGATATAATAGTAATAGCAAAGGTATTTGCTAAAAGCCCATACTCCCGTGTTTCGCCGATATTCCGTCGCCGCACGACACAGCTGCAAGGGATTCGGCTTGTCAGTGGGTCCCCCAGCATTCCCTGCCTGCTTTTTGTTAGGTACTCCAATCTAAAAATTTCGCTTTTTAATTTCGTTAAAAGTCAACTGCGAACTTAGAGGAGATCAGTATATTAAATGTCTATAGGCTCGAATATTTATGCATAAAAAACTTTGGTCTGAGCCTATAGACCTAAAATATACTGATTCACTCAAGCTTAATTTCTAAGGGGATTAAAAAGCAACAGTTACTTATCTGTTTAAGTAGCATGACAAACATTCATTGGCCTGTTTGCCGATTAATGATGGCCGCATGCAATCATTTTGCCTTTTATTCCTGGTTATTCCAATACCGATGACTTTCCGTGTGTGGAACTCCGTTATGTCCTTGTAAGCAGGCGTTTCGACCGCGTTCCACCTTTAGGGCACACTAAATGTGGGCTACGAGTGTGAGGTAAAGGTCCCCTTGTCAAAAGTAGAATGACGTGCAAGCCACATCTGCCCACATCGGTTGGGGTGGTTTTCTTCGGTTACGTCGGATAGATTACTATTCACTGCCATTAATAATCCAGTTTGCCATTTACGTTTGCCATTTTACTTAATAACGTTGTTCTGAATTTGCGCGTGGATGTGACGCAGAATTTGCTCGACTTACACGAAGGACCTACGGAACACTTGCGCAAAGCCCAAAGTAATGAGCATGCATTACTTCCGCAGTACGTTCTCATCGTCTATTGGCTGCCGATTTTTACGCTTATTTAAAAGACAGCTGTTCGTAAACAGAAAAATTTTATTCGCGTTTATAGATACCTCTCTCCCAATACAGCTTAAAAGATCGGGACAAATTCTGCGCACTCGAGGCAGAACAAGCATCAGGAATACTTGGAAAGATACAAAAAACACTACTTAGGTAGCAACTTCTTTTCAAGTGTAATTTGCAAATCGGACTCAAACGATGTCGGCACTTTCTTTAGGCCGCATCACCGCCTCGATTTTACTGTGGAAGTCACATCAATTTTTCAACTGGCGACGAAACAAAGACATTAACACCCCTTTATGAGCTAGAGAGACTCACAATGCCTAGCCATACAACTTAATGTACGAATTACTGGACGGCGGTACAGTCTGGTGTCAAGAGGAAAACAGACCAGAAGCTCGACCGCTGTCAGCCTGAATGGGGACCGCGTACGAACCGTATTCGACGTTTGCTCTCTGTCTTTTACTAAGCGAATACTATTTATTCTTTCTCGGTTTTGCCAGAAAATATGAATGTCGACTGAAATCAAAGTTAGAGATTTTTCGGAAGAAACATATTCTTAAAATTCCCTTACAGTCGGCTGTAGAATATGTTCTCATTTTGTTCCCGCGGCTAGGTTGATAGGCGGCATTAACAGTAATCAAGTCGACCTGAGGTTTTAGAATCAAACTACGAAAGTAATGTTATTGAAAAAAGTAATAAATAAGTCCAGGATTTCATTTTAATCCTTAGATCCGGCGAGCGTGCTTGGTAGGCGCTACCCTAAACCAGGTCTACAATTCCTCCAATTTTGCAATTAATGAAGATCGAATTACTAGACACCCATGTAAATCATCCATCCCTGAGATAACTGGACACGCAGACATCCGAACAGGCTTGTTTAAAAAATTATAGGATTAAATATATTTAATTAAAAAGTAAGATGACGGATAAACCCTTCATACCAGTCTCTATCATAAAAAGCACGTCTGGAGAAAGATAAATAAAAATAGTACTGAATCAGGGCGCTCTGAATGTACGATTGCAGAAATGTAGATTGAAAGACGATATATCGAAACGGGTGATGAGGTTTTTTGTAGGAATAGTATCAGCCGTATTATTGTCACCAACAGTGTCAGCGTCAGTATTCCGACGCCGAGTCGTCTTCTTTTGAGGACCCGGAGTCTGCGAATCGCTTTGCCTGATGGTTTTGCACGCGCCAGAGTAGACACAGACTGAGGAGGCTGAAGAAGGTGAAGAAGAGACAGAGAGAGAGGAAAAGACCCCAGGCGAAGAGTCGGGAGGCCAGACCTGAGGGACCACAGCTCATGAATACCACAGACTTGACAGCGTAGTGCAGACTGTCACAGGGCAGTAGTCGCTGAGTCAGATTCGCAAAGGCTGCATTTCCGGTTCCATTGACAGAGCCAAGGAGGGCAGTGACGAAAGCTTCGAAGGGATTTTTAATAGCCTTAGTGACGGAATCCTTGGTAGCCGTTACCTAGATATGCCGAAAACAAAACAAATCACCAGACTATGGCATAAGATGGTCTTTTGGCAGCAGATGAGACACCAGCGTTTAAGAAAACTTTTGAGGCAAAACGATACTCTTTTTAATCCTCATTTTGGCCAATTTATGTGTTCCAGCTACTTTCGCTCTTGCCAAACGAATATTTTCCCAAGAGTTATGTAAATGGATGATGTTCTTAATCATACCTAGGGTTTAGATATACGAGGTCATCTCGAAGTGTGTGCTTTAATATCCGAAGTTCGCTGAGGAGTTTCTCCATAATTAACAGGAAATTGTTTAGTTTCCTACTTCAGAAAAGGTAACGAGTACCAAGCGAATCTGGCTCAAATGTGAGTAGAGTTCATGCACTCCAAGCCAACCGGAACATATTCATTTTTCTTATTTTTTCTAGCGTAAAATTTCTTAGTGTTTTTAGGTCTAACTCAATTTTATCTGCCTTTCCAGCGTCCTCGTACAACTATGCTCTTTCAAAAATTCGAAACAGGTTCAAATGCTTGAAGGCAAGTTGATGCAAAGTGGCTTTGTTCGCTATTGCACGTTATGTAAGTCTTGATTCTACTTATTTTGACGTCATGCCCAAGCTAATTTGTCAGATAACGTGAGGAATGCACACAGATCGTAAGAATGTAATGCACTGTCATCTGCGTGGTGCGTAACATAATTTTCCTGCGATATAAAACGCAGGGCAACATCTTGTCACTTTTAAATCTATATGGAGGTGTTTTGTAATGTTGCGCACAATCTTACAGGCACCTATTCATGACGATAGACTTTGATGAAAATGTGTATTTCAGATGATCCTTTTGAGACGAGCTTCACAACTAATGAATTCCGGCACGAAACAACATAAAGCGATGGTTTACTTAAATCCACATGCGAGTAGCTATCGCCGTTTCAAAGCTGAAGATGGGCCAAATCAGATTCAGGCACAACTTTCGAACATTGAATAAGCTACTAAAGTGAAGTTAGTTGCAGCAGGGAATTGTCTCGAAGTTCCGTAAAAAGTCCAAACGGACAAACGCATAGCAAAAAACAATCAGCAGTCGAAGACTATTTGATAGTGGTGGTTATTTGACGGCTTATATCGCCACGCCGAAGTAAACACGGAGTCAGATGAGCTAACATCTAAAATCCATTGCCTTAGTAAAAAGAATACATGACAAAACGAACATGTAGTTCAAGAATTGGGATAAGAAATGGCCCAAAGGAATGCGCTCACGCTTTTGAAAGAAGCAATCCCTGCCTCCAGTTTGCTTGAATTCAGCGCCAATGTATTGTTGTTCAGGCCGTCGTATGCATTGCGAAGTTCATCAGAAAAGGCGTTGCTTGCTTCCAGTTCAGGAACCAAGACGGTTAAATTGTTGGCTAGGTCAGTGCAGTTAGAATTCATTTTTTCTGCGAAAGCCTTAATTGCTTCCGTTTTGAAAACATTTTTTTGGAGGTGTTTGGCGGAATTCTGTGGACCAGGTAAGGAAATATTGAGGTAGCAAAACATTTGCGACCAAAAGAAACAAACATAATCAGGGCAGCATCAATAAACGACTGCCTAATTTGGGCTCATAGATGTCGCCACTCTAGTCAGAGTTCGAATCTTTCCTTGCGCGGTAATATAATGCAAGCAGTTCTAGTCCGCTTGTGGAGGAGTTGCAGTTTAACTGATATAATGTGAATTTATAGAAGACCACAGCAATTATGCAAAAGGGTTGCAGACATGATGACCATAATTTTACCTTCATTCACACAAAATGTCTTTGAAAATATTACCTTAAGTCGACATCCAGTTAATTACTAAAACCAATAATCGGCTCATCAATGAATGGGCTCTATATGCTAGCAACAACTCGAAGGCTCGAACTGTGTTACAAGCTCGTCATAGCAAAATTTTAAATGATGATCTTATGAAATGTTGGCTCAAATGCTGAACTGTCCTTCAGATTAGAAAGGATTACTTAGATGGGGCTGTAATATTAATTAACATACAGCGTAGTCCTATTGTACCCCGGGCTCGTCAGGATGTCAGCTTTTAAAAAGCACTTCTTTTCGGCCTCCTGCAGAAACCACGCTCGGTAAAAAATGACTACATATGTAGCATGCATGTTTCACATTGATTTTCAGTGGTCCTATAAATGTAAATATATTTTATGGAAAAGAGGCACGAATAGGCTTTCTTATACCATTCAGGGAGATAATTTCTTTGTCTTTACACTTTGTACCCAAAGAAAAGATATTTTCAGTTTTGAAAAAGTTTCTAATAAGGAGATTTTTTAAAACCGTGCAATGTACATTCATACAGCCTTGTGCCTGTCCGTTTACCAATGCCTCTCATCAAATGTACAACACAGTCCGTATCCATTGTGTCTTTTAATAACTCTGCATGGCATCTTCATAAAGCAAACTAAAGCAAATAATCGGCCCATCAATGAATGAGCTCTACATGCTAGCAACAACTCGAGGGCTCGTACTGTGTTGCAAGCTCGTCATAGCAAAGTTTTAAATGAAGATGTATCTACAGTGAGCGACTGATCTTATGAAATGTGGGCCGAAATGCTGAAGTGTCCTTCAGATTAGAAAGGATTACTTAGATGGGGCTGTAAGATTGAGTAGGATACAGCGTAGTCCTATTGTACCTCGGATTTGTCACGATGTGGGCTTTGAAATGCACTTCTTTTCGGCCTCCTGCAGAAACCACGCTCAGAATAAAAGGATTGAATATGTAGCATGCATGTTTCACATTGATTTTCAATGGTCATATAAATGTAAATATCTTTTATGGAAAAGAGGCACGAATAGGCTTTATTATACTTTTCGTGGAGAGAATTTCGTTATCTTTACACTTTGTACCCAAAGAAAGGATATCTTGCAGTTTTTAAAAAGTTAAGAATTATGGGATTTTCCAAGACCGTGCAATGTACATTCATACAGCCTTGCGCCTGTCCGTCTACTAATGCCTCTCATAAAATGTACAACACAGTCCGTATCCATTGGAAACTTTTGAGAACTCTGCGCGGCATCTTTTTAATGACATAGAGGAATATATGATTTTTCTTACGCAAAAGCATGCATTTTGTAGACTGAAGTTGTTAAACACTAATGTGACGGCTGATCAGGTTCAAAATTATTCGGGAATGGGAAACATTTCTTAAAACCTGGATATTTCTCCGGGAATAAAATAGGGAGACGAGCGGATCCTCTCCCAAAGGCGTATAACAAAGCATATTTTCGTGCCTCTTCTCTATAGAACATATTTCACTTTGTAGGACCATCGAAAATCAATGCGAAACACGCATGCCACATATCTGGCCAGTTTTTAACGAGTACAGTGTCCGCGGGAGGTCAGAAAGCTGCGTATTCAAAAGCCAACATCCTGACAGGCCCGAAAAACAATAGGACTATGCCGCCAAAACCAGAAGTAGAAACCCACCTAAGTAATCCTTTCTAATCGAAGACGCACTTCGGAATTTCGGCTAACCTTTCATGAGAGTGGTCACGCAGAGTAGGTGGATGTGCATTTTATCGGACGTAGTTAATTGCCTGTGTAAGCTCACATTTTTGATCTGACATCTGCGAATACAGCAATACAAATTCGTCTAACCAGAGACCGTTTGGTTAAAAGATTTCTACCTAGAAAATCTCAATAAATTCAGAGTCCTGTTTCTCTGCCATTTGAAATTTATTCTTCAGCAGTGATTGATGCACAACCGAGGAATAATTTGTCTGTTTTTTATGCCGTCTGAAACAAGATTTTATTAATTGTAGTCGGATTCACAAACGTGTGCCAGTAGACTATTAAACATCAAATAAATGGAATTGATCGCACATATGTTGGGGATGACCACTCGGTTGAATAAACTAATTCTTTCTCCTGTTCACGAGCAAAGGAAGCGGCAACATGTCTGCTTGGCTATGGAAATCTGGCGTGGTTAATACGCGGTTCAAAGTGCCTCTTGTCTTGCCAATTGAAACGACTGCGAAAAAAAACGATTGCCTAAGGAAGAGCTGAAGGATCTCAATGACACTGAACGGAACGATGGGAAGAGGGACAGCATGTTTTTCAATGTTTTCTATTGTGTAAAGATAAGTATTCAGAAGCGAAGGCAATAGATCTGGTTCCTGCCTCAAGTAAGGAACGCTTACCGATACATTAAGAAACGCAATCGCCTTTTGGAATACGGAAGTAAAGTTTTTAATGTCGGCTATAGTACTATTCGGGACTACGTCGCCAAGCTTTGCCCCAGCGATTCCGTCAACAAGACTCCTGCAAGAAAGACAAAGTTTCTTCGATAAAACGCGCACATCTACAGGAAGAAAAAAAGCGTTGATAGAAGCCCAAAACAATAAGTACAATAGAGGGTTTAATAATCAGCACGAAGTTACGCTATCTACGTTTACCATAATTTGAAGGCTGAAGTGTCCCACACCTTTCTTTATAGCACGATTGCACCAGAAACAGCAGAGCATGACCTTGGTTTGAACATCGTTCATCCACTCTACATTAAAACGTAAAGCCACGTCAACCAAACTACACATCTATCAGAGCGGCCCTGCAGTTCGCAGTCTGAATGCCTTAATTGTCCTTCCAGGTTAAAAAGAAATATAATTGGTAATAAAAATACAGAAGCCAATGGCGGCAGATAAACACGAAGACTAGATTTTGCTTCACTTGAAAACTTTAGGATTTTGAGCACTAAAACGTCAAGGCAGTGAGATAGTCGAGAAACCGCTAATTTTCTTTTCACCCCTAATGAAGTTTGACATATTAGGTTCATGGACAGATCTTTATCCTTATACTCATGTAGGGCATTAACAATGACAAGAAGAACTCGATTACTTTGGCAGAACACACAATGAAGAAGCCCCCTAGCTCCGTGATTCTTATCCTTAATGCGGTTTGGAAGAACGACAAACTTACGTCTGGGCACTTTTAATGCCATCAGTTAGAAGGGGACTCTCGAGTAGTGCAGTGATGTTGACCAAATTGTCGATTCCCGTCTGCACTAGAAGCCCTGACTTCGAGGTCGGCCCGGCGGTTTGAGGATCACAACCTACCTCGACGGCGTGCAGCAGGTTTTGGGGTGCTTTTAGGTTGAGAAGGCCAGTCAGATCATTTCCAGTGGCCGCACTGCCTCCAGCTGCCTGCGACGGAATGAGATCATCCCACATGACTTGCACTTGTGAATTGATCACATAATCGGTCTTTCTGATTCCACTGTTATTGGCTATGTACGGGCAGAGTTCAGCATCCAGGAAACCACCCATGGTCACCATCAACACGGCGACAAGGCCGAAGAGAATGATAGGCAGGAGAAGCAAGGCTGAACAAATGCAGAACATTCCTCCTCCACAGACGCGTGATCTTGACGTCCCGGTTCCACTCGCTTCAAATAGAAAATTAAGGTATTATGCTAGGTTGGGTCCTTCGAACAAACTAGAACTGATCTTCACTACTTTTTCTGCTGTCGGCACAGGGCTATCTGCGCAGGCAAAATGTGTAAAAAGAGACACGTGTTTGCATACACTGGGCAGCTCAGTTTATTCGTCAACTTTTATACTTCGGTTAGTTCAGAAGTATGAACAATGGTCAGTGTGAAGAGGCAACCTATGATCCATTTGCTGCCTTGAGGAAGCGCTTTGTTAAAACAAACGGTGCAAGAGAAATCCAAAAAACTAACGGCGAAAATAGCTGGTGTACGTTTTATAAGAATAATTGTTGAAGTGAATAATTGTGAGCTATTGTTTTATTGGTAGAATGACAATTTAAATCGTCCAATACTCAGTTCACTTATCAGTTAAATGGAGTGTTTAGTGTTGTAAGTTTACTATCTGATCCCCTCAGCCTGGCATATGCTGGCATTTTCCTGGCACCTGGTTCCCTGCCAGTAGATGCGCCTGCGCTCCTGTTGAGTATACATGTGGTGGGCATGGGCGCCTAGTCACCCTCGTTCTTCTGACCCCTATTGGGATATTGTTGTTAGTCAAGTATATGTCGTAGACCAGGGGCAACCAGGGTGACGCGCTTAGGTGCGGATCCGGTCGTGCCAGCCACCTGCGCCCTCTCCTGCCTCCGGGCATATTTACTGTGTCTTGACACGGGGTCCAGGTGGAGTGGGGGAGAGAGAATGCTGTAGATGCTGCGCTAGTATGCTATCATTACACACTAGTTAGCGCGCAAGTCACCGTGTCTGCTGCACCTTGCTGTGTAGCATACAGTGAACATCGCCGGAATCGGCGGTAGGACTGTCAAGTTTACTATGATGTCTGCGTCTGCACGTTCGGCTATTCACGTCCGGATCTGGGCACACCTCCAAGTTTGACAGGGCCGAAGTTCTAGCAAGGGCTGCTCACCAAGTGAGTCGCGGACTGTTTAAGTCATGGTTCTCCGGCCCCCAGTGGATCAACAAGCACAGTGAACTCCCACGCCCAAAGTTTATGCTGCGAATTTGTCTGGACAAATAAGGTTGCAAGCTGCCGACAATTCTAGTGGTAGCCAGCCTAATTACCGAGTCATTATGACGCCAAGAATTCACAACGATGATTAAATGTCGGTAATAAACCACTTGGGTGCGGACTAACAAGCCATCATCGCATCGATAACAACGCTCCTAAGATGATTGCGGATGCTGTCAATTACATTGGGAAAATTGTTGCGTAGCAACTGCAGACTATAGACACTACACGATTAGTGTCTCTACTACCCTCATCTGTGACTACCTCTGATTATGCTTTTAAGCAAGGACCTGGAACGCCAAGACAATAAACGCCTTGTTCCAGTGATTTCATCTTCGTTCTCTTCCCCTCAAATCTCTGACTATTTATACAAATAGACGTTTTAAAAAACAATTATAAGTCACTGAATTATGCCTTATGTTCTAAGTTATAGACAGTGGCTATTGTCCAATGTTTACGTGATGTTACATAGTTGGAGCGCACTGTCTGCAATTCTGCTATCTGAGATTTCCGCATGCGTATTAAGAAACGCAATGTTGCAAAATGAAGAACGTTGTGAATTTCGAGCAAATTACTTAAACCATACCCTCCGAGGCAGACTCCCCCGTAAGAGAGAACAGATGACGTTGAAGAGCTTCAAACAAGAAGAGGATAAGGAAGATGAGGAAGAGGATCCCAGCTAGAAGACAAGGTAGACACAGGACGTAGAGGGCAGCTTTAGCGGGGCCAGAATACTGTCCAAGTAGACTGGAAACCTTAGCGGTGACTCCGTCTAACTGGTCATTCACGCTTGCAAACTGATCTTCTAGATTTCCCATGAGGTCGTTCATGCCTTCGAGAATTTTATCCAAGTCCAATTTATCTTGCAGTTCCTTCATCACGTCGTCCTTCTTAGCTTGAAGCTGCTTCGTAACATTCTCTAACTTCGATTTAAGATCCTGTAATTGATTGTTCGTTTTGTTAAGCATGAGGGCTACATCGGGTGGCACTGGCAGTACGTCCCTTGGATTTAAATGGATTTTAAGTGCTTCAGTCTAAAAAAAACGATGCAAAGTGACCTGTAAATAAGTAATCCAAAGAGTCAATCTGAACAAAAGAATTGAATCGGAACAACATAAGAATCATCTCTTTTACTTAAAAGTTTTGGTGTATTTTAAAGGTTTAAAAACCTTAGGGGATTTTTGCTAAATGTCTGATAATAAGAGAAGCGTTTGCCTTTCGCCTCGACAAAACCAATGAAATAACAATTTGCTACACAACATGTATCCCAAGAGGAGCGGATCTCATTTACTTTAATGTAAATCAACGACCATCAGATTTTGTTTCCGTAACCACAAAGTATATATCCAAAACGTTAAAATTAAGATCAGCGTCTTCTGTTATGCCTTATTTGAGCTGCGAAAATGACACTTTTGTCTCCAAATATACGTTCGATTTCAGATATTTCATTAAGTATTTTTTAATACTCTTGCTGGGATTAGTAAGCAGCAAAGTCCAGTACCGCATATTCGTGTGTTGAAATGCTAGAAAAAGTCTAGGGGAATGAGCGATCCCTAGTGCAACTTTAGACAGCTTTTTAATTTCAATTAGAATAGATGGTTACACTAACTGTAAAGTTATACATTACCTAGATGTCGCTTCTCTGCTAGAGAATAACCGGGGAATTGAAGCACTGTTTCTCCGGAATAAATTTGAATGAGGCAAAGATATGTTTCGTCGCCTTTGCCTTGTAAAAACTGGAAAATTCAAAGAACCTCAACACCACTCAGACGGTTTCTTGCAATAAAATCAGTATGGGGCGATCAACCTAAATACTAAGTTGTTTTCTGGTGTTTAAACGTTAATAAACAGAACAAGTGCATGCATTCCCTTTATGGAATCTGAACCCTTCGATTGACACAAGGTAGGAAGGTAAGCATTTAATATCTTTTTTGAGTTACGGTGATTTATTCAACTATGTAGTTTGTCAAAACTGGGGCATTTTCTGGGTTTATTTAGTAAATATCTCCTAATTTGACAGTTCCAAAAAAATTTTCAGATGAAGGTCACACTTTATGGGACAGTTCCCTTATCGGCCGTGGAGGTACTATAGATTTTCCTGTGAATAACCCACATAACATTGTGTTACGGTAGAGTTACTGTTACATTATAATTTCCTGCCACATACAGTAAATGGCTGACCTCATGAAATGTTCATCGAAATTCCCTACTGCGTTTGCAATTGGGAAAGATAACCTAGCTGGTGCTGTAGGTATTATTCCAATGCAACATAATCCTGAAATGGCTTAGCCATGCCGAAGTGTTGTTTTAGATACATCTCTCATCGACCGTCTGCAAATACTACACTTGGTAAAAGGGGCAACTTTATTAGTACGTACTTCATTCGATTTTTCGATGATCATATAAATTCAACCATATTTCAACGATCACACCCTCAAATGCTTTCTCGTACTTATCTAGTGGCACACAGTGTCATCTTCTGTTTAAAAACTTGTTAATATGTTTGATTCGATATAAGAAAGTTTGTGACTATCAAGCTCCTTTTAACTATGAAATCTCTGCACAGTCTACATCTACTGCTAAAGCGTTTGAGAAATAAGAGACATCTTATAAGTATCTCAGAAATATACAGGCTTTTTGCGTTAAAACGCAGTTGCTGGACCGCAAACCATCAACACAGAGACAACGACAGACCAGTCTTAAAATCATTCGGAAGTCGAGAGATATTAAGACCACAATAAACTACTTCAAATATGAAATTTGTGTATGTGGTTTGTCAATAAAGAAGTACAAGTAAAGATATTTATGACCGTGTTTTTCACAAAATACATATAAATTTATATCGACAGAAAAGATCAGTGAAACAATTCGTAATGTCTAAGTATTCATTTTTAACCGAATGGCATGCCTGCCACCAATTGTGAAGGGATGCGTTTAAAAACCTGCTTTGCAGTGCGATTAAAATATCCTGGGATTACGTTGCAGGATAACGGAAATCGCAAGTCGACTTAAATAATTCCTTCAAATTGAAAATGCATTTCAGAATTTTTAATAAAATTTCGTAGGACCGGTCGCTGACTCTATTTCGAAGTTTCCGGTAAAGTATACTCGGTTGGACTGTTTAAAAAGAATTTACAAACAGGATCCTGATTGTATAAAAAAATCTTATAAGCTTTACAAAGGCAGAAAATGTACCTGCGATTTATCTGCAGAACAATTTAGCACGGTAGAATTGAGGATGAAATCCAATTTCAAAGAGTTTTTGATAATGGTAGTAATGGTCGAATTATAATTTGTTGTTATATAATTCGAGTTTTCAGTCGCGTTACCGACCGCGTACACCATTTCATCCACTGCCTGCCAGATTTCCATCACTTTGAATTCGGTCATGACCGCTGTTAGCAGGGTTGAAATCTCATCCGGCAGTGTCTTCTACAATACAAACATTCATATGAACTAGAAGTTGTGCACACACAAATGTCTGGATTTTGGATAAAATGACTTTACAAATTTCGCATGTTATGAACAAGGAAAGTTGAAAAGGTGGACAAATACTTAAATTTTCGACTGAATTATAAATTCTCTCCCCCCTCTATTTTTACACGCCTCACTGCCGAGATCAACAAAAGGCAAAAGGGTTCAGGCAGCAACTTTATCACATCAAAAAGTTGATTACGAAATTATAACTAACAAACGGTAGTTAAAACGCGATACACATTGTACACATGATCATTTCGAATGCCCAGTCGGTTTCATAAAAAACGTATCCGATTCACTCGAAGTTGCACAGCTGATCTGATTCCTAATTAATCTTAATAGTCCGCAGTAATATATGGGCCCTGTGCGTAGAATATGTTCTGACGAAACACGAAAGGAGAGAATGCGAAGGTGAGATTAGGTTAAGGCGAAAGGTGACGTTGAGGTAATAATAGGTATATGAAGCAAGTTACTGTCGCTCGTGTTCCTACCAGCCAAAAATAACAAGAATTCATAGCGTGAGATAAATCACATTTTGCGGAATAAAAAGTAGTCATACATACTAGTGCAACAAAGATTAATTCAGAGCAGAGCAAAACGCAAAACTAGTTCCTGAAATGTAGAATGTCTGTCTTTTTTGAAACCGGATAAGATCCAAATGCCTAAACAACTAAATATATTATACATTTTTCCCAATAAGTGAAGAATTACGTCTCAGCAATAATGCGAAATACCTCAAATATCTGTGAGAAAAAACAAGAACGCACGAAGAACTTTAACTAACGAGGAAAATATAAATGCGTCGATCTTTTAGTTTTGGATGAGAACACTTTTGAAGACTAAGTTATTTAAAGGTAAAAAATGCTACCAAACATGCATAACTAGTTATTACTTTAAATTTAGGCGAAGCTGAAAGAGGTGACTTGGGTAACTGAAAAAGAAGTATTTCGTTTGGTATTTTAAGGGCTGGCTTAAGAGGCCATTTATTGCACGAAATACACTCTTGCCTGAATGGAACAACATATCCGAAATCTTCCTATGTTAGCTTTAGTAATTTCCGCGCCAAAAGAAATACTTAACCAACCAACAGATCAGGGGTCCTCGGAAAGAAAGGGCTATCTTAGAGTAATAAAAATAAATAAATCCCTCTACGTTTTGGTCACTACATGTCATTCAGTATAGTAGTCGGTAACATCGGGGCATACAAAGTCATTAATTTGTCTGACGACGGGTTGGTGTATTCAGCTTGAAAGCTCACGAGTATGTCTCGACCTCCCGACGAGCCTTCTCCTTTTATCACACACAGCTTCCTCTAATCTTAATAATTGATTTCTAACTCTGTTTGGCATATGGTGAAAGGGAAGAAACCACAGTGGTTATAGTTTACATACGTTGAGAAGATGTTCCTTTAAGATGGTGACTGTCGAATTCACGCTTGTTTTCGCCGATTCGATTGAGGAGTTTCCAAACTGCCCAACATGTGAAACCAAAAATTGCAGAATACGACCGATGGAGAAGCTGGAAGAGTTGCCTTCTAGCCACACGATCACATCTTTATCATCCGCCTGTGAATCGGCCAGAGTTTCGCTGAGTACATTGGCCGCTCCAAAGTAGTAACCGATGGATACGGCCAGACCAAGCAGCAGGAGAGCGGTCATAACAAATGCGAGAAGATGCAGGGAGCAGCAGATGACATTTTGATCCTTTGTTGTTGACTTCGAGCTCTGCTCGTCCTGGATTAAAATGGAGACGGAAAAAAAGCTCCAGCAATAATTATCCTCGTGAGTCGGGCAACTGTCTATTAAGCGTGATGCACTTGGGACCGGTACGTAAGGCAACATGTATTACTTCCAAAAGACCGCAAATGTTTATCGCATGCTTCTCTTCGACATCGCGAGATTAGTTGCGATATAATGAAATGTCTTTCAGAATAAAATGTGACGTGCAGTGCACAAAGTGGATGTATTACGTACATGGTAGTAGCCGTAGTAGATTGAAATTATGATATAATGTGCTACAATATGGCGCATCCACTGGGATCTTTCGGGCACCAAATGCATCAGAGTTCATAAAACATGGAAAGCTGAGAAAAGTGTGTTTTTATACAGAAGACGCAGTTATCTGTTATTGTGAATGACTATCCCAGAGAAAGGCCCTGCAAGTAGCAATTATTTTCTTGTTGCACACTACAGGAAATTCGAGAGTCCCCGCGGCCAGACAATGTTTTCCACTGTGATATGTAAAACAGACAGGCTCTAAAATCAGGACCGAGTGCCCTGGATTTGACATACAGTCGACGCATCTTCGAATCGTATGAAGTACCAATGTTCTTTTGTTTCTTACGCTGGCGCCGTGAAGTTTCATATTTCCTTCAATTTACAATGACACATGGATTATTACCTATGACATCTGCGAGAAGATAAAGGGTTTCATTTATGCGATTGGGCTACTTGTATAACTCTTCGAGCTTCACAAACGTTTTATCAACAGGCCCCTTCATAAACCATCAGCATGTGGCTCCACTGCAGATGTGAAACTTAGAAAAAGTGGAGTTGACTTTAATATGAGCGTGTTTATGAAGGCCTTATGAATTTTCCTTTAGGAAGTAGAATTGTGGTCAAGTAAGCATCACTGGAAGTATACTCACGATGATGCACGTGGCCGGAAAGGTGCCTGAATGAAAGGCAGTCTGTTACTATTTATGCAATAACCACACTACCTGCTAGTCTGTCTTGTACTGGTGCTCCAACAATGCATTGCAGCTGAGTAGTCAGAATTGCAGGAGCTAAGGAGTGAACAGTATGAATGTACAGCCGAAAAAATAACAACCTATCTCTCTTTATGCACTTCCTTCTGAACACACGACGAGGATCCCCAATGTGACTGGAGCGGTACCATGCAAACACATGAGTTTGCGAAAGAACTTTTGGCAGCCCCGAACTCATTTTGCCTTTACGCACTCACGCTGCTGTGCTGAGCCAACAAGGTCACCGCGACCCGCCCTCACATACCAAACGTGTACAGGGTGAAAGATACTTCGCACTTTTTGGTTTCGTGCCAACGGTAACTTACACGAGACAACGGCCACCGTATGCCGGACATCACATCGTTAGTTGGAAACCGGTCAGTCGTCGACACTTAACAAGTCGGGAAGTTACAGCGCACGCGTCAGACTGGTTATAAACAGCAACTCACAGTCTTCTCTCTCACACACACCCACGTTGAACACCAGTGTTCAGTCCAAGTCAGTCAAGCTGGAGGTGACATCAAGAGATGAGCAAAACGTCACACGTGTCTCTGACACTGTTTTTGCCTCGATGACGCCCGACGCAGGCAGCTGGCTTGCTTCGAGAGCTCTCTGCATTAAATGTCCGCCAAGTTCTTCCATTGAGGCTGGCTTTCGTCCTATCGATACACAAGTTCTTCTTGTCATAAGACCTTCTATCGACTCGTAGCAGTTAATGCTGACGTTCTGGCTGGCTACATTCAGTCGCTCATTACATCTGCCAGTTTCTGGAATCCTGGAGGAGCGAATATCAGTTTAGACGACCTCAACTTCTCATTGGGATTCCGGCTGACGGCCGCTATGCGGACGATATAACCCCTTTGGATTTTCACTAAGTCAACCTGCATAGTGGGGTCCCGTGTAAAGCACGTTGTGAATCAGTCGATTTATGGATCAATACTGTCGAGAATAGACTATTTCTGACCAGGACGAGTTATCGTTCAAGGTTAGTGTTTGTGAGAATTTCAAGAAGCCGCTGGAAAAATATTTTATCGGACAGACAGAATAAGGATGATGTCGTTTTCGAGTCGGTGCTTCTCACGAGTCTATCGAAAGCTTTCGGGAGTGTTTTTGAGCGGTCACAACGGTGAAATGCCGATTCTGGGCTACGTTTAGAAGCCTGTGAGCTAAAACTAGATATTTTCGACAAACGCTGTCTGAAAGTGCTCCTTCGAGTGCAGAAACCGCACGCAGTTCCAAATACTACCATCCAAGGCCCGTTACTCGATGACCAGCGGGTTGGTCACGCCTTCTACCAACTTCTTTACAAGCTTACTACTGGTATATGAAGCATGGTGCAATCGCGTAGTGGTGAGGAGAAAGACTGACTCGAAGTGGTTTGTGAAGATATTACCCCGGTCATGCGGTTTTCGCTCTGCTGCATTGAGAAACACAAGAATTGCGTCCACCGGCTATATTATAACAGACTGTCTTGCGTAGAGATGTTCTCCGTGTACTATGTCGAGCTCTGTTAGAGTAGACATGGCGGCAGAAGTGTGTAGTGGCATTACATTTATTTTATTATGCGGCCATTCCAGAATCCGATTTTTTTTCAAACATCTGATATCATAAAACCTAATAAACCAAACCATCTGTCAATTGAGTAGGTTTGTAGAATGGATCTACTCTTACTTCACATGAATCTTTCGGGAAATAACACTTGAACAATTTCCTTCACTCTCGTCGGTACCACGTGCGTTTGACAAATGAACCAAGAAATCTCGTTCCTGACAACCTCTGACGGCATCGATAATGTTTCTGCATAATTAGACGTCAGCAAATGAAGCATGACATTCTTTGCGGAGGCTGGAACAATCCGGCGACCATATGAGGGGCTCACGTGCGCTGCCGACGAAGTAGGCGTCCTGAGTGAAGGTGTGTGCCTTTAAACTGATTGGCTGTTTTAGACCTCTGTGATCGGCTGAACGCCAAATAGAGGCTCTCGGTTTCTGGACTTGGCGTATTCGCGATGAGAGCATCACACAAAGCCTGTCAAACAAACGACTGCTGCTGGTAGAAGGTGCAAGTATGTACCAGGCAGAGAAACGCAGTGTCGCAGCAGACATCGGGAGTGGGGGCAACACGGGCCTACGAACCGGTGTTCAAACAAGAGTGCCTTACCTCCAGGCCATGTGTGTAGGTCGTCGTAAGTGCTTAGAGGTGTCCCGGATTTATTATGGAGATTAGAATCGCACAGGGCTGTAATAGAAAAAGCGTACCGATGACTAGCTACGGTCGAGCAGATCAGCTCCATCCTCAGTTTCCTTCAGCAGAGCGCGTCAGCTGCTGATGCGACCGAAGAGGCTAGTTTCAGGAGGCAGTTGAGAGAAATCAGACTCAATGGCTGACAAAATATTATCCTCTCTGGCATTTCCGATTCACGTCGAAATGTAAGGACAACTTCGTAGAATTTTAATCAACGACAGTAGAACAACATTTTCAACAAAACACAATATTGCCGGTCGACTGTTCTTATTCGATTCTATGGCTACGTAAATGTATAACTTCCTCCCACCCATCGCATTACTAGAAGTCACTCCAACTAACGGAAATGCAAAGTGGCTGCCTCAATATCCTGGTTTTCTGATTCAGACATTGCAGTCAGTTCCCCAAAACAATACTTAGAGAAACGAGGAGGGGTAAGTCTGATGTAAAATAAGATCAATGTATAGTTTGACGCCACCTCCTCCTTTACCCCAGGATCTGGCAGCTAAGACCATTAAATTACTCTTAAGAAGCAAATATGATGACATTTAAAGTAGCTTCGGTCATTAGCGAATACCTTAAATCCTGGAATATTGTCCCAAAACCTACTTCGTGTTCAAATGAGAAATCTACGGGCAGATAAAAGGTTAATGATTTCAAAAATTTCGAAAATCATAGTCGGGGATCCCGCACCGTCTGAAGTCGCTAGTCTTCCGACACCACAGACTGAATTCCTGAGCTTGGCATGCAGATAATACCTTTGTCTCCGTTGAGAGATCGGACATCGACATTCAAGGAACATTTCAACGGAGTCTTTCCGCACACACGCGTTGCAATTTGGAAGAAAGGAAACAACCAACTGTCCCTCTTTGATGTTTTTGTCTGACACAAATTTTGTAGTTTCCTGAAAATTTATGTGTTGATGAAAATGACAGCTACTACGCAAGTACTAAGTTCCAACGGTAGTCACTCAAACAACTACAAGCGCAATTACGCACGCGTACTAAATCGGCATATTGAGAAACACTGCTGTGAATCGGAGGAAAAGCGGGCGGATAAATTAATTTAGACTGCCATCCAGAGAAAATTATAATCCACACAACCTCACCAACCAACGTATGCCACAACGAGACTTAGAGTCAAATTGTGGCGTTCGCTCCTGTACGCCGAAAACTTCTTACAGTCGCCAGACGCCAATCACTAACCAGCTTTCTGGCCTACGGTTGGTACTGGCGCTGGTCCATTCAGCCACTACTTCAACGCAGCATCCAGCAGTATTAGTAAGCACATTCTCAAACTGCAGAGTTTTCTTAATTTTCCGCACAGTTGACCCAACTAGTGTCTCCTTTGATGACGATGCTGGAGGCTGGAAAAACACTACCCAGAACATTGTTCGGATTGTATACTCATGCAAGAAACCTAAATATTAATCGTCGACTTTATAAACACAGAAGCATTCCGAGCGTATACTTACAACTTACTGCAGAAGAATAGGACTCATTCAGTGAGCAGGGTCACGTTAACCATCAGTTCAATTAAGTACCTTTGATAGGTAGCCAAACTTCCTCTCTTTTACGAGGACCACATGCATTCTAACGGCTACCGATACCCTGAGGTCACGAAACACGAATTTGGAATCATCGCGAGCTCAGGTACCGAGAACCCGATTTTCCCTAACTATCGTCATTGCAGGTGTATGGATTTTCAAGATATTATTCGGCATGAATATTTATTGTGTTATGGACAACTAGAAAATCGGTGATCTAAAAATAATTAGACAATAATTGAAACGGTATTCTTAAGTTAACAGTTTTGCAGAAGCGTAACAGCATGCTCCACGAAAGGACGTCTTTGTTACGAGCCCGAATACCGGCAACTTCATAAAGACTGTTCGATAGGCACATAGGCCAGCAAGCGACTTTATGGGACTTGTATTACGGAAATCGGCAACGGTAGGGTGTAGAACCCCAAGTAACTTGAGGTTGTCTGTGAACCTTGTTACACGTTGAGCGGTGGTAGAGAGAGTCAAGGGTGGGGCAACACACAGTAGAGACAGTAACAAAACACAGAAAATATATGAATTTCTGCAGAAAGTCTTATCGTACGTTGTCTTTTGGCAAAGAAATTAAGCATGATAATTTAAAAATAAACAAAAGCAATTTTTAAAAAATGACGGGTTTTTGGGTAACCTGTCACTGGCGGGTTTACATTCAGTTAGAAAGACCAGGAAATCTTAACCAAGAGGGACGTTGAATAACAGGTGATATTTGCAATCGCACGGACTTATAGTGTACATGTTGGAGCTTAAAACTTCAAGGTATCCTACACCCTACCATTATCCGGATATCAAATTAATAACTAAACAGCGTGCGGTATTAATACAGTAATTTGATTAATCAGTAGACTCTTAATACTTCAGGATTGTTTTCTTCAAGTTTACGCTTGTCTGCTTTCAGTTTTTTTGGTTGGTCTCTCGGGCACTCATTCTTAGGTTTGACATGCAGCTCCTGCCATTTGAAATTACACACTAGAGCTTTTGTGGGCAGGCAAAAGGAGACATTCAGTAAGGTAGACAAGACAGCAGCTCTTAGGACTGGAACCGAAATTTGTATGAAAATTTCATTTTAACCGGTGGCAAATGCGACTAGAATTTTTAAAATTTTATTTCCTAATGGACCTGCAACAACACCGTGATAAATGTAGTTTTTTCCCCAGGGATTTTAACCGAGAGATACGCCACACCAGTAGCTTGATTGTTTCGTATACACTGCCATCATACCAGCGAGACAAAACAAAGTCTGGTGACGTTAGACAGAAAAGGCTATTCTGCTGTCTGTCCGTACGCCGGTTACTTATAGGCTGTTTAAAGCTGGAGTGGATTTGCTAGGCGTCGCCAGCAGTATGACCAACAGACATTTGTTTGGCTCAAAAAATTGGACAGAAATGCCTACCAAAGCAGTGCTATTTTCTTTAAATCGGTTGACGTACCTCGTCTTCTTCATCGCTGTCAGAATGCCCGCCGGATGGACAGCAACAACAGCAGATCAGAGAACACACAAAGATGGCCAGGAGACCCAGAGTAGCGAAAACCAGGCAGACTATAAAAGCGACAATGACCTGGCCTTCATGATTCGGATTTGCAATGGCCTCTTTCACCGCTGCCTCGCCGCCTCCCAGATCCTCCGGCAGAGCCGCCAACACGGCCAGGTCTGCCTTCTCTAGTTTTCCCATGACCATGTGCATTAGACTTGTAGTCATCACGGAGGCATCATTCTGGATGTCGAAGGAGGTGCCGTTTTGGCTATCACTGGATGTTACGGGCTTCAGAAAGACATTGAGCAGGCCACCATTCTGATATTGCAGCATCCAGGCAAATATCGTGGCCACACAGCCGAGGACTGTTGGTATAATCATTGTGCTTGTTTGTTGAAAATAGCAGTTTCGATCTGATGCGTTGGAGTTGTGAGCTCTGGAGGGAGGAAAGGCAGATGCAAATGATCACATCTTCGGAAGCTGGGGCTGTCGTTATACAAGTGCAACAGTTCGTATAATAAGTTAAGTGTGAACACTGCCTGAGAGTAGGCCTTGGTTCTGAATGAGGCAATGTTTTAAATCTCACAACAGTTGCGGTTCCACTGAAACGACTCAGCAGGAATGAACGACTACGAAGAGGATACATGAGGCCGAATATGTTGTTCGGCTAGTTTTGCGCGAGGTTGGTAATGCATTTTGAAACTAATCGTATAAACAACTGTTTGCTGAAAAGTGATTTTGGAACGAAAATTTGCGCAAATAAAATGCGTAAGAACGCAAATTGTTAAAGTGTGTACTAATGATGAGAATACCGTTTCCGGTGTGGTATACACTGCTTACTAAAAATTCTCCTTACCGCCGATCCTTTCTTGGATAAAACAGATACAATAAAACAGGTGCGAGCGCTCAAACTCATCCATAAAATATGTCTGTCCTAATGTAAATAGTTTGTTTGGATACACCGAACTCTCCAGTTAGGTGGTCGAGATGGGATGTACCTAACTTCACATGTTTCTTTTAAAACCTTCAAATGTCCCCGACTACCTGCATTAACTATTTGCCTGTCCTAGTTTCCGATGAAACTAATGCGTAAACTTGGATCAAATCTTTCGAAACGGGCCTTTTCAGGCAGGGTCCAAAGTTGGATATGAATATTTGAGCCGAAATCCATCAGCGACTACAGAATAACCGTTTAATATTCACAAACTGCCAACAGGCAGCCCGCATGCCGCATCCATTGTTATAGTTGAAATAGCTTTATGTATGACTACGATCCGTTGGTGGGTGGTGCCTTCCAAACGGGCCACGTGTTAGATGCGCTGGACCAACACGGAAGCCACATCGGAATCTGGCAGGCGTTATCTGTGCGCAATAACAAATGCCATCATATGCGGGGTGCGCTGGCGGACCCTGTTGTCGGCATTCGTCGCACAGCTGGACCACTGTCAACACCCCATTGTTTTGTGGTCAAAATCCTGGTCATTTGTGTGTGAACCAGGGGGTGCGGAGTGGAACGCCAAGGTGAGGATCCGTCTGAGCCATCCACCTGCGGCCTCCCTCGTCTCCGGTCTTCTTGACTCTGTCGTGACACCGGGCCCAGGCGGGGGAGGAGGAGAGAGTGTAGGTAGATGCTACGCAAGTCTACTGGCAATATAAACCCCCTGCGCAAGTCACCGTCCCTGCTCCCACAATACAGTCTGTGGGGCACACTGGGGACATCATCGAAATCGATGGTCCAACTGTCGTTGGGCGAACAACATTTCAACCACAAAATGCCAATGTCTGATTTTTACAAACCTATTCTAAACTGTCGTCCAGATTATTCCATTACGGGTGCTAGCCATTTTACAGAGCCAAACGAGTGTGATACATGTCTGTTTTCCACAAAGCCACAGGTAAGTAAATGATGTGACTAGGAAGGATAGATGTTTTACTCTTTCACGCAAAGTCGCATCTTCTGGAGTCAAAATTGTCAGCATCATTTAGGAAAAATGCTCAGACGTCTCGTAATATTTTTGTATGAACGAGACCACAACAGAAAATCAAACCGGCCCCTCTTCATTACTTAGTTTATGTATGTATATGAAAGTTGTTCTTGTCAACCAAATAAATGCCACCTGAATCAATAAAATAGACTAAATTCAGTTACGTGTCTTTGTTCTGTCGCCTAACCCAACTCGTTCAACAAGCATAATATCCTTTTATGAGACCTTCATGCTTTGAAGAAGTACAGTAGATGTGCTAACTCATGAAATGTCAACCAAAATTCCGAAATGTGTTCTCGTTTCAAAAAGATAAATTAAGTAGTGTTGTAAAACTAATCATGATGCAGCATAAATATATAATGATCCAGTTACCTCAGGGTGTCGGCTTTCGAAAGAACTTATTTTCGGCTGCATGCAAGGTCTGTACTCTGCAAAAAAATGACTACTTATGTAGCATGCAATTTTCTCATTGATTTTCGATGCCCTTGAAAATTCAATTATATTTCATAGAAAACATGCATAAAAATATTCATTCTTGTAATTATTCGGTAGAAAATCACATCTGTTTGCAATTTCATACTCAAAAAAGAGTATAATTCGGTTGTAAAAAAGTTTATAATTCGGAGATTTTTTAATATTGTTAAATGGCCGTTCATGAAACGTCATGTATCTTCATTTACGAATGTGGCTTGTAAAGTTAAGAATATTGCTCAAATCCACTGCTTAATTTAATGAAACTTATGTGGCCTCCTCTTAACACCGTAGAGAAATGCATGGTTTTCCGTAAACGGAAAATATACAGCATGTAGTTTTGAAACCCTGAATGCAAGTGTAACAGCAGGTCGGGTTCAAAATTATTCGGGAATTATAAAAGTATTTTAAAACCGAATTCTACTCCTCTTTTGAGTATGAACGTGTAAAAAGACGTGATTTTCTACCGAACATGTAAAAGAATAAACATTTTTATGCTTGTTTTCCATGAAAGATAATTGCATTTTCAAGGGCATCGAAAATCAATGAGAAAATTGCATGCTACATAAGTAGTCATTTTTTGCAGAGAACGGATCCTGGATGCAGGTGAAATTAAGTTTTTTTCAAAAGCCGACACCCTGAGGTAACTGGATCATTATAGATTTATGCTGCATCATGATTAGTTTTACAACAGTACTTAATTTATCTTTTCGAAACGAGAACACATTTCGGAATTTTAGTTGACATTTCATGAGTTAGCACATCTACCGTAGGTGGAATAAGGGAAAAGGCTAAACTGCTATAGAACTAATAAAATTCTACACTTAACAAATTAACCCGTTTTTAACGAATGACTGGGGTTAATTGCGGCATGAAATTCCTAAAATTCAGTATAAAACCGTAATATTAGGCTACAACTAAAAGCTAGATCTCACCTTTTATGAACCTTTACGTTTGGGCATATCGACGCAAGCGCTACGCCTCCTTATATACGAGTCCGTCACACTGACCTTCTTTCTGCAAATGCCTGAGCGCACCGGCTCATTTTCTTCTAGGCGAGTGTGCTCGGAAAATTGGTTTTCGGTGTGGGTGGAATTTTTGCTGCAATTTGAGGCTAAGTGTGCGGGCGTGAATGCGTTGGAAAGAGAGAAATGGCCCAGGTGGTGAAACGCAACAGCACAACATTGATTAATCAGCCTACAGGCGTAGCGTAGTCATATTGCCTATCAATTGTTGCTTTTTAATTCCTTCAGAAATTAACTGCAAATTTGGAGTAGACCAGTATCTTCTAGGTCTATAGGCACAGACGGACACTTTTATGCATGAATATTTGGGCCAAAATCCATCAGCCACAGAGGGTAACCGCGTAATATTCATTAACTGCCGATAGGCAGCTAGCAGTATATTTTAAGGTAAGGGGGTACCATACTAACAGCACAGGTAATAGCCAAAAGCCCATACATGCGTGTTTCGTCGATATTCTGCCGCTGCCCGACACAGCTGCGAGGGGTTCGGCTCATCAGTGAGTCGCACATAACACCCCGTCTGCTTTCTAGTAGATGCTCCAATTTAGAAATTGTCGCTTTTTACTTTTCTAAGAAATTAACTGTGAACTTGTAGTAGATCAGGGAGTGAGCTTTAACTAGTACCTGCACTGTCATTATGATATGCTCCCACCCTTAAATATACTACCACCGGCCTGTCAGCAGCTAATGAATATTGATTGATAGACTTTGGCTCAAATATTCATACATAAAGTCTCCGTCTGCGTCTAAAGACCTTGGTATATACTGACCCACTCCAAATTCACAGTTACTTTCGGAGGAAATTAAAAAGTAACAGATTCTAAATTAGAGTATCTACCAGAAAGCAGAGGGAGGATACCAGTAGACCCACTGATGAGCCGAACCGTATGCGGCTGTGTCATGCAGCGGCCGAATGTCAGCGAAAAACGCGTGTGTGGACTTTTGGCTAGTACCTGTGTTGCTAGTGTGGTACCCCCTTTCCCTACAAATACGCTTATCAGTTAATAGGCTTTCACTAAAAAGCAAGCTTGTGTGGGTCAAGTTTGTCGCGAATGAGTCTGACTGATGCTTTCGAGTTTGTAAATGGCTATACATATTTTTATAAATGCCTCCAGGACGTGCGAACAAGTAGTGTTCGCGCAACTTTTTGGCCGAATGCGCTGATTGATGGTCAAAAACCGATCAATTAACGGAAAGTAAGGAAGAGGCGATTACGCCTGCGAGTTTATATCGCGCAATCCTCAGGAATTAAAAGCACTGACATGCTCACTCAAGAAACTGCTACCTGTAAACGCATTAAAGAAGCAGTTTATTTCTTTCTAAGAACTAATATGGACTAGCATAATGGACTTTCTATGGGCTGGCTACGTTATCTTCTGTTAGTCAGTGAATGTAGTAGCAGTCAGGAGACATTTCATCAGGACCTTGCCGTCGCTGTGTGGATGAAATCTCTGCAATCGCAGCTGATCAAACCAACGTAGGCGGTGTAGTTTTGTCCTCTGTTTTGCAGGAGGAGCTAAAAAGAACTGTTCACCAGATAACATTGACAGGGGAGGATAGCGAACTTGCACTGCAGGAAGGGGTAACCTAGCCGAATTATTTTGGGGGAAGCTGGGAGAGATAAAAATCTATTTTGTGCTTTCCCATTAAAAGAGCAGCGTTTGGTAAACTCCTAAGAACATGACTTGAACATGATGTTTTGGAGTTTTCCAAAAAAACATTCTCGGAAAAGCCATTCAAAACAGAGACGGTAAGGACAGGCTTCCTGCTCACACAATCTCTGCAAATTTACTCTTCAACTCGTTCCTTTGAGGTAGGTTATTTTAGTTTCACGACTCAGCACCTATTCAAGGGGGTATATGAACACTTTCCAGCATAAGTCGATAAGAAGCGTCGACCACCGGAACACTTCTTTTATTGTTCTGGGCTTTCAAATTCGTGCAGGAGTCCATCGCCAAAATTACTAGCAGCAACAGATCACGCGACAGTTATAAGGCATGTAGGCCAATCAAGGACCGACGACGCAAGACTGGAAGTGATTACGCAGGGCTCTATACGCCGGCGCCAGATCTATAAATTGTTTGGTCGAGTTCACATTCGAGGCCCAGGCTTCAATCAATTCTCGGTCTGTCTAGTTTCCGGCGTGGGCGATTATTTTTGGTGGCTGAGAAGTTAAACGCGTGACCCATTTCGTAGGAGTGGGCAACCACTTGTGATAATGCGTCTCCGCGTTGCACGGCCAGGTTATGTTCGTGTATGCGCGATTCCAGCACGCGCCCAGTCTGCCAGTCTGACACGGAATGCGATATACTACTTCAGACTGCTCTTCAGGCTTTAATCGGTCTTTAATTCCCATGACCCTCTTGCGTATGGTAACATTGGGGCGGTGTGCAATTCCAAAACTTAGCTCCGCAGGAATGCGCTCGGTCGCTTCTGAACCGTCCGCGATGTATGGCAGAGAATGCCATATCGTCGGTTTTGTTGTTGTCTGAGTCCAATGGGGCGACCGCGTAGGCAGCGACTTATGAATGCCCTCGGATACCCACTTAGTACAAACTGGTCGCGAAGATAACGGGCCTCACGTGCTCTGTCCTCCAGTTTGTGGCAAAGAATTTGGATACGTTTGAAGAGCGTCTTCACACAGCTTCGTTTGTTGGTCACCGGATGTTTGCTGTGAAAACTGAGAAGCTGTGTGGTGTTCGTTGCCTTCCTATAAACCGTTCTTTTAAGTCCACCGTTAACGTTTCGTCTGAAATGCACATCTAGGAAGGGCACCTGCTGTTCCGGTTCTTCTTATCTCGTGAATTTTATATCAGGGAAGACTGCGTTGAGCGAGCTGTGGACGGGGAGGCGAAGTTAAATCCTTTCCCAGAACTGCACGTTGCTGCAATGGAAGTCTTCTGAGAGGAGATGTTTAAACGCGTATTAAGAGGCAACTATATCAGTTGTAAGCTGGTCCTCGTTACCTCGTAGCATAGGTGCCGAGCTTGCCTAAAGCCATCACGAGTGAAGCATTCATGCATCTGGAGAGCTCGACTATATGACAGCGGAATTTTCGATATTCCTTTGAGTTGCTTAATTCACATTTTATCAATGCGCGTTAATGGTTTTTATAGAGTGATATTGGAAGAGCAAATAAAAATTAATTCTGTATACTGATTTGGACAGATTTCATAGAAGAAGTATTAAAATAGGGAAGAGGGAGAGAAAGACATCAAGAATCCACTTTATTTGAAAGTGGTGTTATTAAATGTCCCTGGATAATCGATAATAACTCTCGATTTGCCAGTGTTGAATAGTGCTCGCCAATACCCAGCATGAATTCTATTGAAGACAACAACATGTTTGTAATCGACGGGGCTCATGGTTTTCTAGGAGATTTCAAAAAACATGGATGATCCCATGGGACCTTCGACAAGCTCATTACCACTTCTTTAATTATCGACAAATAAGCAATTTTCAAATACAGCTGTACTAGCCAGGCTACAGATTATTACAACACACAGGCAGTCTTATGTACTTCTTAGTTGAAGTCTCAACGGCACTGGCAAAGTCGTGCCTACGAACAAGGAAGAGCAGAAGTCGATGCTTTGGAGTGAGGTGCAGAATAGCTGAGAGGTGATCGAAATGGCCAGAACCGTAGGGACGGCGGCCGACGAATGACGGAAGAGATGAGTAGCACAACAACAAATGTGACGGCCGGTAGTGGACGGGAACGGTCGATTTTGGTTCTTAATAAAACTGTTACTATTAATTAGTTTTCGGATTCAAAAAATCTCATTAAGCAAGGAAAATGTGACATTGTTGTCCATGTAGGCCTTACCATAAAGGATAGTTTTATTGCAGTCCCGTTGAGAATGGAGGCGAACAAACGGGATGACGTGGCGTGCTAATGGATAGGTGCGGGGGCACATTTGTTTTGAGCAAATGCAAATTTTCGGCAGAAGTACTGTACAGGTCATTGCTCAAGGAGGCATTAGACACATAAAGTCTGGGATCTACGGCTACAAAAATATCACTGAAAGTTGGTATTTCACGACGCGCTAAATGTTGAAAAAACTGAGGCCGTGGACAGACAATATGCCCACATTTAACAGTGCTTCTGGACAAGTGGACGGAGCGACCTTGCAACCAGTAGTCAGCATCAAGGCGCAACCATTAACTGCAACCTAAACGGAAGATAAAAGTTTGCTAGAAAAACCGAAATTGCAAACTTCATCGAGAGTACCTTAGAATGACATCATGAAATGGTACTGACTAAAAAGTGCCACCACCCGCGGGCCACGATAAGGCATTGTCGAAGCCCTTCATGACATTCCAGACTTGGCGACAACTTTCGGCTGCATGGCCAATGACATCGGTATTGACATGCTTGGCAAATAAACGACCTGTAGTTGCCAACAGTGACCAGTATTGTGAGAAAGTAAGGGAGTGCATATGATGGTAACAGGTGACGTGTTGTGGCATATGAAGAACAGAGTGACTTTAAGTTTGGAAGGTCTGGTGACCTCAATTAGAACAAAGTTCATCCTGGGAGACAACAGGGCAACGGTCTCGTGACTCTGTTTAGCAGCGTGGACTTCTAACCAACAGGGCGCGAGTTCGAGCCTCGGGTGTTCAACACTTCGGGGTTGGGTGTGACTGACTGACGACGGCTAATAAGCCGGAAATGGCCATTCCAGTCTCCCTTATCTTTGTCGGTAATAACAGACAACAAAATATACGAGTGGAAGAACAGTGCACAGAAGAGAAGATCACACGGAACAGTAGACAGATGAATAGTCGGCTACAATCGGGTGAAGGAACACAAACACAGGACCAGCCAAATGCGCATATCTTATACGGGAAAGGTTGTAATAGGGCTTTTACGGGTAGGACCTGTGTATGCATAGAGGAGTGACAAAATAAACACAGATATGTGGCAACTTCGTTTTTCGAGCGGAAATGTTTTAATGCATTGACACATAACACCCGAAATTAAACAGGGCAACTTAAAAAAATAAACATTAAATGTCCACGACAATCGCTTCTTAGCCCTGAGCTTGAGAGTTGAAAAGCGATCGTTGTAGACGGTCTTGTGGATTATCTACTGTGACTTCAGCTCAAAGGGTTGAGAAGCGATCTTTGTAGACATTTAATGTAAGACAGGCACTTATGGCTGGTCGGGTGTGTGTTTGGGATCCTTCATGTGATCGTTGCCGAATAAATCAAGAAGCGCACACATGTAAGCCAATGAGTCATTGCCAGCATTCCATTTCAGGTCCACACACTGAGAGTTAATAAAGGCAAAATGGGACGGAGGAGTGCATAAACAAAATAACTACTAGGAAATAGTGGACGATTCCAGAAGCGCGCTCAGCAGCAAATGTCTCGCAGTCAGCGAAGGAGGGATCCATATGGATGGTCTGAACAAGCTTCAATAAAACAGAACTTTCGACAGAAGAGAAGAAACGGCATCTGATCTACTATGTCTAGAGTCCCGGGATGGTCTGATGACACCTGCCAGATATCAGAATCGAGATTGGATAAGGGAACTTGGAAATGATACGGTGGAATTACGAATAAACCTGGACTCAGCTGAATTAAAGTGCTTTTGAATCAGCATCGGCCCTCCTCGAAAGAGTTAATTACCACTGCTGCGTTAGGAGTCCCCTCAATTCTTCGCGAGGAAAGAACAGTAGCAGGGATAAACGAGTCAAAGAACGAAGAGCGTATTCATTGTAGAAGGGATTTTACTTTAAATATCTTGTCGTCCTACTTTGGACATGCAGGGTTTTTGAAGCGGCCCAATCAACCGAAATAATAAGTAGTTCAACAGAACCAAGTATGTCAACAAAAGAAGAAATCAAACACGTTAAAAATGTAGTAAGAGAGATTAAACATGAGTGGATACTAGAAAGACTAAGTGAATCGAGACCTATTGAAATAAACATTTTAATGAAATGTCGACAGGCATAAATATGTCCTTGGATCCGCCGAACTGTACCAACTCACTAGTGGAGTGGGCTGTTTGAAAGCCACTGCTATTGCATGATTTGAACCCGCTGAAAATACTCATATTTCCAATTTATCAAAAACCTGCATCTCTCCTTTGATACAGCGGCGTTCGGTATAACGTTCGGCTCGTCACGTGTAAGACCTGCGCACGTGAATTTTGCGAACAGAGAGGAGTGAGCCGCCTTGAGTTATGGCGACAGTCTGAAACAACGCTTCCATGCTCTGGCACAGTCGCTCTAGCAGACGTGTGGGTAGGCTATCGGCGAATCAAGTAGATTATTTCAAGTTCAGTTACCCGCAGTTGGTTAAATGTATTGTTCAGGAAGGCAGCAGAATAGAGCCTTGGCATGTGCTGGCCAAGTCAGGGAAGCCAGCTCCAACATACCCGCTCGTTCGGACTGCATAAATGATGGCATAGAAACAAGGAAATTTGGAGATTTGCCAAGGGCCACAGTTCACACACCGCACTAAGAACGTAGGGACGCAGAGTTCTTCCGGCTTCAACAGGAGGTCGCCGGCCTACTGTCCACAAACAAGGACAAAGGCTGGCAGGCAGACGGCCAGCAGAACTCAGACGCCTATATTAGTGCGAATTTCTCGTCAATGGAGACCGCATAGACGGAAGTCATTTACCCAACAATGCCTCTAAAGACCAGCTTTGGCCGTTTGGAAGGATAGTTAACTATGTTTGATTATAACTTCTGACTGACGGATGTGCACTGAGGAGGACTAGAGGAAAGTTTGCAAAACAGATAAATTAGAGTACGCATTTACCGCAGCATAAGTGATGGTATATCCTTCAGATGGGCTTCTCTTTCAAAATCAATCATATATCCCCTTCACGTTTACGGATTTAATTGTATGATGTGGTGGTAATGGCAGTATTTGAAGTACAACATCGGTACATAATGTTATGCTAGTCACCCAACTCTCTTTTACGACTTACGCGTTCTAATCCGCTGGGTTCCTGCCACGAAAAAGTAAATGACACTGCACATGTTGGCTCCGGTGTTTGAATGATGACGTCAAACAACGGAGTCGCCGTCATCGTCTTCTTAGGTCCGTAAGTCTGCTTGAGATTTCACCCAAAGCTTCTGTCAACCATGCGTGAAAACAGCAGCTGATCAGGAGCTCTTTTGATTTTGCTTAGCTGTTAATCATTTAAATATCCATCAGGAAAAATTATGTTTTAACCCTTATAAGGAAAACAGAGGTTACCTGGAAAAGTACTCATGTCCAGCCAGGCGACAGACCTGAGAATGAATTTCGGACAGACAGATATCCTCTGATCTTGTTGGTGGAGGTTCATAGGTCTTTAACCTTGACAAAGGCGAAATCAAGGGAAAAGAGTTGCGTTAAAATATACTTTAGGAACTAACTATTGTACCAAATTTTCTTCATAATAGTAGAACCGAACACATGCAGCGTTGCTTTAGTAACACGACAGTTCGGTCGCCGTTGCCGACGATGTCCACCGTGCACTCCACGGCAGGATGAGAACGGGTAGGGTGACTTGTGCGTGAGCTAGTTTATAGTGGTAGTAGGCTTGCACAATACCTACCGCACTCTCCCCTCCTACTCCCTACCCCGACTCGGTGTCACAACATAGTTAAGAAGACCAGAGGTGTGGGAGGGCGCAGGTATGTGGCACAGCCGGGCCCGCACCTAGACGAACCATAACATTCCCTGGACCACACAGACACTGAGCAGGATTTTAACCAATATCACCATCAACGGCAACGGCAACAACAACGACAGCAACAGAGGAACGAGGGAAATTGGGTAACTATATTCACGATCTGTATGACCAGTGGGAGCGTAAGCGCATCTACTGGCAGGGGACCAGGTGTCAAAAAACTGCCAGTGCAAAGCAGGCTGAGAGGACCATGGCTCGCTGCTCCTGGCACAAGGGACGCATTCAGACCTTTAGCGTAGAAGCACAATCACAACGGCGAAACTGATCAGGATGCCAGGCAATGCCAAACTCAAAGGATGTTAAGACAGTTTGAAAACCCGATAAATCGCTGGGAAACTTTAATTTTGTCGCTCAGATATGCTCTCTGTTTTCTTCAGTTATCATAAGAAACGATGGGTTGATTTTACTCTTTCCGCTGCTTGTGTAAGTGACAGTGGAATCTTTTGGAAAGGCCAACTACAACTCTGTCATGCGAGGTATGAGTATAACCAATCAAATTTTCACAACATTTTGCTACATTGCCGTCAAAACAGTACGTTGAATGACACGCCAGTCTCTGAAAAGTTATAGGATTACGCAAACTTAATTTTCGGTAATCCCCGAGTCCACAGGATGCATTGTGAAGTAACTGAGTAGTGCTTGTAATTCAGATTCCAAAGGGTGCTCCAACCTTGGCTGGATGAAGGCTTTAAACTCAAATTAGTAGACGTCTCGAGCTACCGTCTCTCTGTCAATATCCATTTGCCATCGTGACTTGACCGCACTCCGGTCTGATGTGAATTTACTCCTGAATGCATCTCCCTTACTCTAGTATGTATATTCTCGTCCTGGGAGGTCAGGAGTGTTGGTCTGTTGCTATTGGGGGGCATCACACAACACTGATACAGCCTAAATAACCATTTGAGAAGTGCCCCTCAAACCACACTCCAAGACTCCTGAACAATCTGCCCTGTTGCCTGAACCCTTACCACATTTTGAAGTTCGAAATTAGCAACGTCCATCGCGCACTCCAAAGGGTATGCACAACATCAAAGATTTTTGCGGCGTCCACCGCACTCGCTGATCCCTCAAACATTATACTGTAATTGCGAGACACTGTCAGGACAGTCGGATTGAACGTGGCCTAAGGCCCTACCAGTAGCGTTAGGTCGAGACTTTTAGTCGAGTCTACTACTGCCCACCGTCGCAAGGTTATTTTAAATTAACTAGACCAAGGCCAAACCAGTGCTTAGCTTTTCAGATACCATGTAGCCAAAAATCCCTGCCTCGAAGGATCCTCAACTACGGGTGAAACTAAGTTTGTTTCCGGTTTGAACGTCAGGCCACGATGGCACCTTCGTTGTGTTGGGCCTCTAAGAATGCCCTCCTCGATGCTCGACCCAAGACCCACTTGTATGTGTTTAGCCAAATTGTTGACGGTTTCGGACGGGGAACCAAAGCATGTCAAAGTGAAGACATGTGTTATCACGAATGCACACCCGTAACAAATGCCAAAATTCGGGGTCAGGCGTCAGGCCCAGTCGCAGGCTTACACCGCGCCAATAGGGCATCTCTGTCGCCTCACCTTTCGCTCTAAATTGAGAACCTAGATCGAATGTTTTTCATGCAAGAGGGAGCGTGATGGCGCGCCTAGGTGCAGAGTTATGCCGCGCCGGCCACCTGCGGTCGTACCCGTCTCCGGTCTTCTTGACTATGTTCTGACACCGAATCCAGATTTGGAAGGATGACAGAGAACGGTAGATGCTGCGCAAGTCTACTATGAATATAAACGGTTTCACGCACATGCCACCTTCCTTGCTCTGATCCTGGTACAGAGCACACGGTAGACATAGTTAAAATCGACTGTCTAACAGTCATCATGTGTGTGTGTGTGTGTGTTTTACATTTAAAGCGGACCATGCAGTCGGTACGCTGGACCAACACCGGTGCTAGATCGGGCTCCAGCAGGCCTTATCAGGAATACGCAACCAAAACAAATGCCAACATTCGGGGCGCGAGGGCACGCTCATATACAGGCCCACGCTACGCTGACTGAGGTCGGCGCAATCGCCTATTTTTGTCGTGGTATGAAACCCCGGTTAGTGTCCGTCGCGGACCCAGGGGATGTGATGGTACGCCTAGGTGCAGGTTTACACCGTGTCGGCTACCCGCAACCTCTCTCGCGCCTGGCCTTCATGACTTGGTCACAACACCGCACCCAGGTGCAGAAGGAGGGGGAGAGAGTGTGGTAGACTCTGCGCAAGTCCACTGTCATAATAAACTAATTCACGCTCACGTCTCCATCCCTGCTCTCACCCTGCCCTGAAATCGTCACCCCAACAGCCGATCTTTCGTTTGCGAGTGTGCGTGTGCACGTGAGATCCAATCAGTCTTTCACCTCGTGTGTGAAGTCCTGGTGTATGCACACGGTATCCCAGGTCGTGCGCGTTGCACGCGCAGTCGGGCTGTTCTCGGCTCTGGCAGTCGTCTTTCACAATCTCAGCTTCAGTTGGCTGACCGGTTCGGACAGTGGCAGAAGGAGAAGGTGTAAGGTCGACTGTCTCAGTGCATATTCCTCGCGATAAACATTCTGGCGAGCTTGACACTATCATGGTGAACTTAAAGTTGCGGTTTGGAAGGTTGCCAACTGGCGATTTAACTCAGACCACGCAGTCCGTCGAAGTTGTGTGTTTGTTTTAAGAGGCTGATTGGTTTACTGAGGCTCATACTGCGGTAGCTTCTTCTTACTCACACTCTCGAACATGTGAGATCAGAGCCGCTTCTTTCCCTGGTGCGCACGCTTGGGGGTGGGGGGCGGAGGTCGCGCATGTGGCGTTCGCAGACGGGTTCTTAAGCCATTGCGCCCACTTCCGGTCTCAGACATGTAACCGGCTCGGAAAGTGCACCGATGCCCTGAAGTAAGAAGAGACATTGAAGTCGAAGATCGCAGTGCATATTCCTCATTACAAACGAGCTGACGCGCCTGAACCTATCAGGATACGCTAAACCTGTGGCTTGGAAGGCTGCCAACTGACCGACTAGTGAAGTGAGAGTCAGGCTGCAGTGGCTCTTATTAAGGTGAACTCGATGGCCGTCCCACTCAGTGGGATCTGGGCCGTCCTGGTCAGTGACTTTTGCTGACTAGCGAATGTGGTGGTACGCCTGAGTGCGCGTTTTCGCCGTGTCAGCCACTTTCGCCCTCCCATGCCTCTGGTCTTCTTGACCCTGTCTTGAAACCGGGTCTAGCTGGGGGAGTACGAGAGAGTGCGGCCGACGAAGACTACGTCTACTATCACAATGAAAGAAATTACGCGCAAATCACCGCCCCTGCTCTCACCCTTCCGTGGAGCATCGTAGGCCATGACAGTCTAACTGTTGTGGGTGTGTGTGTGTGTGTGTTATTCCATGATCACTAAACCATGGCCCTCATAGCTTGGTGTGCGCTGGCAGTTCCCTGCCACCTGGTTCCCTGCCGGTAGATGCGCTTGTACTGGGTGGAGGGCATGGCTGCTCAGTTATCATCCTCGTCCTTCAGACCCCTGTTGGGGCATTTTTGTTGGTCAAAACTTGGTCCTTTGTTGTGTGGACCAGAGGGTGTGGAGTGGAAGGCCAAGGTGCGGGCTCGTTCGCGCCATCCACCTGCGCCCTCTCTCGTCACCTTTCTCTTGAATCTTTCTTGGGGAGCGGGGAAGAGAGAGTGGAGTGGATGCTGCGCAAGTCTACATTCACTATAAACTAATTCACGCACAAGTCAGCGTCCATGCCTCACCTTGTTGTGAAGCGCACGGTGGGCATCGTTGGAGTCGACGGTCGAACTGTTGAGTGTTGACGTCAGTCACTTTGACCGAGCCCGTCTCCAGTCGCCTTGATATTCCACTGGAACATAGTGGTGAAAGAAAAAAAGACTGGCATCCGTAGTGAGGTCAAGGTGGATGCTGCACACGCATGGCGCAGTCCGCTGCCGTGGTCGCCGGTATGACCATTTACTCGTGCACTCCTGTCCTGTCATTTTACTGCTGTAAACGCCCAAGAGAGGACACCAGCCGATCAAGGCCGCATATTTCGTTTTTCAACTACAGGTGGACATACATTAGACAGAGGAAAGACGCGCACGCGCTGGGGACACTCACACACAACAGTTCGACCGTCGTAGTCGACGATATCCACAATGTGCACCACAGTAATAGTAAACATGTACAGCATCTACCTCACTGTCTCCTCTTACCCCACCTAGACCCGGTGTCAAGACAGAGTCAAGAAGACCGGAGAACGGGGAGGACGCAGGTGGATGGCACGGTCGTGACAGCAACTTGGAGCTCCACTCCACAGCCCCTGGTCCACACAGCAAATAACCAGGTTTTTGACCAACAACAACAATGGGGGGAGGGGGCAAGGGTCCCAGTGTGCACCACGGTTGCCGGCAATCGGGCCTGCCACCCACCCCGAAACGTTGGCATGTGCTATGGTGTGGCCCCCTATTGGTCCAGCACATCTACCACGTAGCCCGTTTGGGGGGCGCATGGACACGCACACGCAGATACACACCTGAGGAGAAGACGGGCCGCAAATGCTTGTTAAATTGCTTGTGCGTTTCCTGCTTCATGAAAAGCCCGTCTAATGTCTCTATTTTCCCCGGCTTTTGGTTTGGGAAGAGTCGCGTTGCTCATTTGAGTGGAATAACTGTGAAACGCCCAAATCCGAACAAGAAACTGTAAACTTACACGTGTTCAAATGTTTCATATGTGCACATTTAAATCGTTCATCTGCTGCCATCACTGGTGATGAATTCGCTTGCGAATCCAGAACGTCAGAGGAATAAAATTCATGTTTTAGCCATCGCGTCACCTTCTTCAGATATCGGGGTAAGTGTTTCCAAGAATCGTCCAAACCCCTTCCAAATTCCGTCTTTCTAAACGTGACCCGAGTTACGAGCGACTGTAAGTGGCGCTTTGGGTGGGGTGTGACCTAAATATCAGGGAGAATGGGGACTTCTATCCATACTTGAACTTGAAACTACCTGCGCTGCTTGTCCGTTCGTGGGGTTAATGCACATCTTACCATCTAGATCTCCTAGTCGGGTTCCACTGCTGTAGGACAAAACGAAGTTGTGCGCGATAGCCAGAGACCTCATATAAAGCCAGTTGCTGTGCCCTATTCCACTGTCAGTCGGTTTGTGCTGGAGGTCGACGCCTACACAGCCTTCATCAGACAGATGTGAAGCTTAATTTTCACACCCGACGCACCATGAGTTACGCTGTCGTACTAAAAGGCATAAGTTAGGAGACTGACAGGCGTCGCCGCATATGGGATCTCCCCGAACGTAGTGTGGGGGTTGTAGTCGTCATTTCTTACCGTCGTCGTCATGGCAACTGTCGCCATTTTGGCTCCGAGCTGGTGAAGTCTGGCCTATGCTGGGTGAGGGTTCAGCGCGCCTATCGTCTGCATAGAAACAGCTTAAACGCTGACGTAGCTCTTTCGACACAGTTTCAAGTAAAAAAACATTACTCGGTGAGATAGCGAAGCTGCTTAGCGGATATGAATCTGTCAAGTCAATCCCTGTGAAATAGCATGTTAGTTGTGCAAGAATTCAATTTCTAACCATCTGAGTAAATCATACTCGCAAACTACCTAATACGTAACTTAAATGTAATTTGCAGCTTTTTTACTCTGACAGTACACAAAATACCTGGACTAGGGCAATACACACACAAAAAACGTCTTTTTTATGCCCCCCTCTTTTTTTTTATAAATTTACATATTCATAAATATTTTGGCAGATTTTGAGTAATTCATACTGACCTAACTGTGAAAAAATCGGCGTCTCGGAGGAATTCGAACCCACGCAGTAAGGGGAAGACTTTAGTACAGCCAACGGTCTAACCACTTGAGCTACGGGGTCTGGTAGTCATCTGGTGGACTTAAGAAGGACCTACGGAGATAGCCTGACGCTGAGTTTACTAGGTGAGGAGAAACAAGAACCGCCAGACTGACAGCCCGACAGAGGTTCACTCAGCTCCCCTCGACGGAGTGGTGACTCACAAAGCACACAGGCAAAACGCCCGTCCACCATCTCCCGCACGGCTGAGGCAGCGAAAGGAGAGAAAAATCGATCAGCATAAGGCCGACCAACACAAGATGCCACTTTAAATTAAATTTCTGATCGATTAAGTACATTTAACGCTTTGACAATGAAGAGCCGACCCAGCTCTTCGAAACGTCAGCAGTTAAATAAACCTGTTCGATGGGCATATTTTCTTCTTCAAATAATCTTCCCGGTTCTCTCAGCTTTGGCAATCTATTCAAAATCTGTCAAAATATCTATGAATTTCGAGAGGCTGGTAGTTATCTGGTGGATTCTAGGTGAATTACTTAGGAAATCCAGCTTGAGCAGTCAACTTACTGTATCAGATTTGGAGGATTCCAGACGTTGCAATAGGTTGGGCGGGTAACTTGACCCAAATGTGATTAAAATCGATTCGGCCGGCGGGGCCTCGTAGCCCAAGTTGTTAGAGCGTTGACTGTACTAAAGTCTTCCACGTACTACGTGAGTTCGAATTCCACCGAGGCGCCGAGTTTTTACAGTTGAGCCAATATGAAGAAATTTACATATCATTCAAAAATCTCACTAGACAGAAATGTTTTCTCTCTTATTTATGCCGGCGAGACCTTAGTTATGTAGGCGTACAGCCAGCCATCTGGGGTTTTTCAAAAATTCTCGCAAAGCCTACGACATCGCTTACATATATTTACTGACGTAGGCAGGGTTTTCATGGATCGCGTGACGGACGTGCTTGTCCTGCTGCGTCCGCTGGACGTTGAACTTAAAAGCGCAAAACGGACAAAGAATGCGGGAGCGTATCGCAGGTCGTTTAGTCCACGAGTTTCGTGTTGTCGGATACCGACGAATAGTAAATAGCAAATGCTCATTCCAGCCTCCCGGCGTCTTCGTCGCTAATTCTTTTTGCCTATAGAGTAGGTGGGCTAAATCATGCATTGTCAGCCGAAATTTCGAACTGCGATCCCGCTGTGAGAAGATTAATTAAGTAGGGTTGCATATGCAACATAATTCTATAATAATCCAGTTACCTCTGGGTGCCAACTGTCGGAAGAACTTCTTTCTGACTGCATGCAAAAACAACGCTCTGCAAAAAATGACTACTTAAGTGACACGCAATTTTCTCGTTGATTTTCAATGTCCTTAAAAATGCAATTTTATTTCATGGGAAATATGCATAGACGTATTCACTCTTTCATTCTTCGGTAGAAATGTACGCCATTTTCCAATTTTATATTCAAAGGAATGGTATAATTCGGTTTTAAAAAGCTTTTAATTATGCGTTTTTAAATACCATGAAATGGCCATTCATAAAACGTCATGTATATGCATTTACTAATGTAGCTTTTAAAGTCACCAATATGGCTCAAGTCCACTGCTAAATTTTATGAACCCCACATGCTCTTCTCTTAAAACTGTAGAGAAATGTATGATTTTCCATACGCAGAAAATATACAGTTTGCAGTTTGAAAACCCTAAATGCAAGTGTAACGGCAGGTCGGATTCAAAATTATTTGGGAATTGGAAAGGTTTTTGAAAACCAAATCATGCCCTTCCTTCGAGTATTAACTTGGAAGAAGAAATGTTCAACCGGAAGAGTGAAAGAATGAATATTTCTATGCATGTTTTCCATGAAATAAAATTGCATTTTTAAGGACATTGAAAATCAACGAGAAAATTGCGTGTCACTTAAGTAGTCATTTTTTGCAGAGCGTTGTTTTTGCATGCAGTCGGAAAGAAGTTCATCCGACAGTTAGCACCCAGAGGTAACTGGATTGTTATAGAATTATGTTGCATGTTCAACCCTACTTATTAATATTTTCGAAACGGGATCGTATTTCGAAATTTCGGCTGACATTTCATGAGTTAGCCCAACCACTGTATATACACCCACACACGATAGGCAAAGACAGACGACAAATGAATGGGAATTTCTGACGTAGTAGATGGAGAAAACCTGGATGACGGCGGTCGGAAATACTTTTTCCCGTCCTCTCTTGTCCTACTTGATACCTTCTTCTCAGTTTATATTGCTTATTCGCTATGCCTTAGGGTTGGACTCTGTGCCCTGGGCGGACAAGCTGGTCGTCCTCGGTGACTTACATGAACACGTCGGGACAGATTGTGCTGCCTGAAAGAGCGCGTTGGGTCCTTACGGAATCGTGAGCTGCAACGACAGTAGCCTCCTTTTCTGGCGAACCTGCGCTGAACACTATCTCCTGCCGATGCAGAATAAGGCCATTTGGATGCACCCTTGATCGCGACTCTGACAGCTGCTGGACTACACTCTCGTCCGGAGGCGAGACCGGCGTGACGTGATGGTGACTAAGGCGCCGACAGCTGGATGGACCATCGTTTCCTCATCCCCAAGATGAGGCTTCACCTGTAACCCCGAAGGAGGTCAAAAGACAAATGACAAATGTCGTTTTCGCCTGCTCATCTTTTGCGTTTCAGAAATCAACTGACTAAGCACCTGAAAGGCCTGTAAGCCCCAGATGCAACGGCGCCCGGGAAGACTCGATGGTGTAGGAAGCTGTCCGTTTGACTGCGTTGGCTGTCCTCGGTCACGCACTTCGTCATCACTGGTTTGACGAAAACGACACAGTCATCCTGCCTGCCGAAGAGAAGAGGCTGCACAGAGCCTACAGTCCAACCAGTTCAAACACAGCCATTTTCCAATGTCGCCGCCCTGCGCAGTAACGATTGCGCGAAATGCAAGACGCCTGGATGGCTTGCGAGACCGAGAAGATCCAGGGATACGCCAACCGCAGCGAATCAAACAAAATTCATTGATGCGATCAAGGCGATCTACAGCCCGCAAACCAAAGGAACTGCCTCGCTTTTCATCCTTAGTGGATAAACGCTTGTGGTGAAGAAGTCACGGATTTTGAAGCGTTGGGCCGAGCACTTCAGGAAAACCCTTAACTGGCTCTCCACAATTTCCGATGCCGCCATCAACCGGCTCCCCCGAGTGAAAATCAACATCAAACTGGATCTCCCGCCTTCCCTCCCAGAAACCATTAGCGCTATGCAACAACTCTTCAGTGGGGAAAGCACGAGGCTCCGATGCGATCCCAGCTGAAATCAACAAGCACGGCGCTGCCGCCTGATGGACCAACTCACAACACTATTTCAGGAGGTGTAGCGCTGTGGACAGGTTCCCTGGAACTTCAAGGACGCAACCATCGTCCATCGGTCCTATTCGGCCACATGCGTATTCACGGCAGCCGAATTCACCGCAGGCTCCACACTTCTAACTCACCTGGCACATCCACCATGCCCAGCCCAACCCACACGCCGTCGCCCATCGCGCCAACCACCAGCAGCTCAATCACCACCATCACCGAAACCGACTCCGACACCGCCGACATATCCCGTCCATACAGTCCCCGCGCGTTCACCTCACCCATCGGCCTGGTCGGACACTTTTGATTTCATCGCACAGAGACTGGCAACGTCAACTTTTCTCACTGTCGTCCCTGCCGCAAAGCCCACGACGACGACCCCCCCCCCTCATCGACGATCACATTTTCGCTGTTTCATGGACATCAGTCACCGACATTATCCACCCTGCCACAACTACAGCATCCATTACAGCAACCAGATCCGCCGCACCACGACATCTACAACCCCCACCCCCCCCCTTACCGATGGGACGAATTCCGACGTCCCATCATCTGCTACCATAACCACCAGCACCCCCAAATCCAGCAATGTGGACTCGGTTCAAACCTGCCCTCATTGCGAGCACAGATTTATTTCACCCATCGGTCAGGTCGGTTACTTGCGAATCCATCTCACAGAGACTGGCGAATCAGTGCTTGGAGCATCAACATAAACCAGACGCATTCGACTCAACCTCTGGCATTGCCATCGCACATTCAGCCACCGCATGGGCCTGTTAGGCCATATGTGCATTCACGAAAACCTGCGGTAGACAAACGCCGGCTATACCACATCATCACACCTTCATCCACCAGCACCTGCACCACATATCAACATGTGAGGAGTGTGATTATACTGGCAGTACCCCTCGGTCGACGACTGACAGGTCACACGGACTTTGAAGGGTAATGGCCCAGACTAAATGCACGACTGCATCTCACCCTTCTGAACTTTAAGTATTATGTGCTTCTGCTATGCCATGACCAGTAAAGCATAGCTTTTGGAGCCTGGTGTACACAGGTAATTCTCTGGCGTCTGGTTCCCTGTCGGTAGATGCGCTTGGGCCCTCGCCAGGTATACAGACCGTGTGCATGGATGTCCAACGTCCGTTTTTATTCTTAGTTAAAACCCTGGTCAGGTGATTGCTGTAGACCAGGAGGTGAAGTGGTACGTCTAGCTGTGGACCCGGCCGTGTCAGCCACCTATACCCCCTCCCAATTCCGATCTTCTTGACTCTGTCTTGACACGGGTTACAGGCGTGGAGGAGGGGAGAGTGCGGTAGATGCTGCGTAAGCCTGTTTTCATTATAAACTTTTTCAAGCACAGACCACAGTGTCTGCTCTCACTTTGTTGTCGAGCACACGCTGGACATCGTTGAAAACAACGGTTGAGCTCTCACGTACAGAATCAGCAATTTCAGGCAATATTAAATGTGGGATTTTGATCAATCTACCAGGAATATGAAGTGTAGGGTTAGACCCGAACTATCAATAAACATTTAAAAATATCTATGAATAACGTGAGCCTGGTAGTCATCTGGTGAATTCTAGGTGAATTGCTTAAAAAATTCTGCTTGGGCAGTCAACTTACTGTATCAGATTTAGTGGATTCCAGACGTTGCAGTAGGTTGGGCGCGTAACTTGACCCAAATGTGATTAAACTCACGTCGTCCGGCGGGACCTCGTAGCTCAAGTGGTTAGAGCGTTGGCTGTATTAAAGCCTTCCCCTTACTGCGTGGGTTCGAATCGCACCGAGGCACCGAGTTTTCCACAGTTGGGTAAATATGAATTTGAAGTAAAGACAGTCGACTTTTGCGGAGTTCATGTGCGTGAGACGCTGGACGAGCCATTAAGGAGCCGGACCTTCGCAGTTCTGCACACAACAGCAGACATATCGGCGAAACACGTACCTGGGCTTTTAGTTAGCATCTGTATCGGGCGTTCAGTAGAAACCACTTTATATAGATGAAAAATAGAAGAGTACAACTTGACGTTCCTGAAGAGCCTCTTTCATTTTTCATTATCTCAACTGTGAATGCATACCACCTCTGATCTGCATATATATAGATGTTGAAAAGTGGATACTCCAAGTAATTTATTGTGAAACATATGTGTGTATACAGGAAATGTTGTAACAGGACCGCATCCCATAGGGAGAATGCAAGAATGCACCTTTTCCACAAAGTAGTATTGAATATGCACAGACATCAAAAAATAATTGGAAATTTGCGATTTCGTGACTAAATAAACGTTGTCCGCGCATCTTACATGCGCTGCTGGAAAGCTTCGTAGGACATGGCTTTGTATTGTGGCCTCCGCCGACTTTCGTTAATGGTGCCCACAGGTCTGAGCTAACCGTCAGGCGCCAAGTCATGAGACCAAAAGAGCCACTGCCATGGCAGGAAACGTCAGGAGTCGTTTACCGGATCTGGTCCAGTTGCGGATAAGGCATCTACATCGGAGAAACTGGGAGACTACCCCGACGCGAATAGCGGAGCACGCAACAGTAGTGAGGTAGGATGACGCCAGCTCTCAAGTGGCGGCTCATTCGACGGTACCCGACCAGATGTTCAGGTTCCGAAATCCTGGAGAGGGATGACAAATCCGTGAGCCGCAAGCTGCTCGAGTCATGGTTCTCAGGCCCGCAATCCATCAACAAGTGAAATGTCCTCCCGTTACCGCATTCTTTGCTGACACTTGCCCTGGTCAGCGAAATCTGCCAAGTAAGGAGGGCGCGGGCGACGAACTATCATCGAATCAATTATGATCCCCAGCGGTGATTGCGAAAACTGTAAGTTATAGTACGCATGTGGTCCCACGACAGCTACTTACTTTAAATACTGCACTTCTTGTGCCACCATTACCCTTATCGACGAATGTCTCTGACGATTGGTTCGAGAGAGTATGCGAAACGTCAAGTCTACAAATTTCTTGTCCCAGTGACCCCCTCTTCGTCTTCTGAGTCTCCTTTTTCAGCTGGTAGAGCTGCCGAAGATGTGTAAACAAGCTTTTGTTGGATTCCGCGAAAAACGCAGAAAGATGTCCAATACTAGATCAGTCAAACCGTTCACGGTCATTCCTAACTGAGTTTACGCTTTCCTCATTCTAACCCAACTCATGCGCGTGTCTCCATTGTTCCCCGTTAGAGAGCTGACGGTCGTCGTCATCGTCGTCGTTGTTCGAACTGAGGAATTGTTGACTGGGCAACACTGAGCTCTTCTACTAATTCACATTCAATTTTCTCCGAGTCAACGTCCTACCTGTACTGTAGCACGAGCTGGTCATTACAGAAAACGGCATCCTTCCCTACAGTGTCTTAAGGTTTCAGAGGTAAGCCAAACGAAGGACGCCTTCGTTGAAGCCATTGACTTCAAAAGCAACGTTGTAGCATCCAGGGCTTTAGGAAGAACATGTTATATGCAGATAAACAGCGCATATGTGCTGTGAGAAGATGCCAAACCAAGTCGGTTCGACCAAACAGATAATATTTTTAAAATGTCATTGAGAAAAGACTCCGCTAATAAAAGCAGAACGCCTTTTATAAGTCCGCACCATGGGTTTTAAAGTCGGAACTGTACGCGCTACGTCAATGCATGCTGGCGACGGCAGAAACAGGGGCAATAACACCATAACTCGATTTTAAAGTTTTGGTGTTCATAAGGGCCCAAACTATGCCGTTGAGTCTGTTTTTTTACTTGTCACTCTCCCACTTCACAGATCCGACCAGTCTGTCTTGTTGAGGGCACAACCGGCTTTCCACCAAATGAGAGTTTTAATCTCCCATGCGGAGCCCTGCATCTAGATAATTTGACTGTCTTGGAAAACGTATCACCTCGATACTGGCGACTGAAGAGGACCATTGTCCAAACGTCCGTAAAATACAAACGCAAATGGCTCGCCTTGAGATCAAATGATGCAACCCGTTAACTCAACCGCTTGGAATGAATCCTCTAGGTAACAGAGGTCCTCGTGTTCTTCTTAAGTACGCTCGTGAGCTTGCGCAGTCGGTTCTGCAGGATCTCATCGAAACGTTTTCTTCTGCACTCGCGAGCCTTGTGGCCTGTTTTCTCATTATATTTAGGGTAAGAATACTGATACGTTTGAGAAAAGAAAGCAGCAGACCGAACAATTCCAAGCAACCCTTTTAAAGAGCTAAAAATTAAAAATGAGCTGGAAAGCGCCGGAGAAATCGACAACTGCAAAATAATGACAGGGGGAAGCTCATCGATCGTTTTTACGGAACTCACTCGTCCTGTTGTGCCTTAGGGTTTTCTCTCGAGCCCATCCAGCAGCCGCACAGCGGCGCATGATATAGGCATTACCGACAAAGACAAGAATGGTCATTCTTGGTATCTCAGCCGTCGCCAGCCAATCATACACAACTCCGAAGTGTGGAACACTTGGGGCTCAAACTCGCGACCTGTTAGTTATAAGTCCAACGCCTCTAACCACTGAGCCGCAGACTCGTTGTCTGATAAACCAGAAATGGTCATTCCAGTTTCCCTTGTCTTGGTCTGTAATACCATTCTGCCTATATCATGCGCCGCTATGCGACTGCTGGCTGGGCTCGAGAGGGAGCCAAATGCACGGTAGCGTACTATACTGGCATTGGGAAACTTCGAATTTAAGATGAGAATTTGAAATTGACCCGTATCTATCTCACCAAAATTTGTCATTAATGGGTCCTTAGCGCACTGCCAACTTTCTTTTAGAGAGTGTGATTTGTAAAAGAAGGTAGTCATAGATCGACTGGCTCTTCAGATTTCGCATGGATAGATAACAGTGGAACGCCCCTTCTTAAACACAACGATTACGTCTTGTTTTGCAACTCCTTGCTTCCAGCCTCCAGGATATCTCACAGTTTTAGCAAAGAGTTCATTTACCTTAAACTAGCTTAATATAGGAAGTTCATTTAATCCTGTTCATTCTACAGATCACATCGATATCTTTTTTATACTAGTTCCTAAACACTGCATTTATTTTGTTAAAGTAGACGTTAGCGCGTTGGTTCTTTGACCAGATCGATAAAAGTGGTAATTTTCCAAGGAGTGATGATGCAATTCAAAAGTGCACTCAGTTCCCACAAAGCTCGTAAAAAACGCGTGCGATTAAATGGAGCGTGAAAAAATTCTCGCCTAATAACAGCACCTGGGTTGTCATAAAATTTGTGCCGTCGGCACGTGGTCATCCCAATGGAATGTTTGGCTTTTACACATCGCCTTGGTTAATGTGGGTGGATAATCGTG